GGGGGGCGGCCGGCGCGCGCCCCGCACCCGCCGCCCAACGCCCATCGCCCGCCGCCGCCGCCGCCCGCGGGCGGACGCCCGGCCCCCCGGGCGGTAATTACCCGGCTCTCACGCAGGCACGCACGGCCGCCGCCGCGGTCGCCGCCACAGTCTCCGCTCTCAACGTCGCGCCGGCCGCCGGCCGTCGTGGTGCTTGGCCGCACGCAATCCCTCGTGGCCGCTGTCTCGCACGTTGCTACTACCAGACAGGCAGCGTCGCTAGGGTTGGCGACACCCTAAGCGATAATTATTGGTGTCGCAGCATTTCCGTGCATCTCAGGTGTTTCTATAATTGACTCAGTGACAAACCATATTCCGTTTAATGTTATTTATTAGTCTTATTATTATTATTATGGACGTGCATAACCTAAAACAAAAGGGCGTGACAACTTCATTTCTGGTGCTTCTTTTCTATTAAACCTTTTTATTTACATATAATATATTTTACTAGGAAATAAATAAAACTTTCCAGAATGAAATTATAACTTGTTCAATGATACATTATTGATAAATTATTTCGTGCTTCTGGGCGCGTTAACTGCTATGGTCACTTGTCCCATAACGGTGTTTTTATCACGAGTCTGTTCTTCTCCCGCAGGATGGTGAGATCGAAACCGCTGCAGCCGGAACAAGCTCTAAGCTCCTGTTTGGTCTACCGGCATGTGTGGTAGTGTAGTGCATGTAAGTGTAACTAAGGGGTGAGTATAGGGCAAGGAAGAGAAAAGTAATATCGCGCGCGGTCCGTGGCACATTTGTTAGGACACCGCTCCGCTATTCGCCTGATATGTATTGATCGGTGTAACCGCAGAAACCACCATTCACAGCAGCCGGCCGGAAGAATTCCCCACCTGTCAGAGACTGAATTTGATCTTCCTATCTAGCGCTAATACCGCAAGTCCTCCATCATTCGGATTCGATCACTACTACCTCCCTATCAGAGACATTTGCAGCGACATCAGATGATACCCTGAATCAACTCAGCCGATTTATAATAATTCAATTAGTCCAATTTATTTATAAATACCATTCATTTAATGTTGATCAATGCACATGGTTGCCAGATCTATGTACATGGATCTCGCGCATGAATTGAAAAATTACAATGACGGAACATACACACATCTTTATTCATTTTCCGCTACAATCACTCCTTCATTATACAACTACACCTCGTTTTTTCGATGAGCCTCAGCGTAGATATGGTTTCGTGTATAGTGCATGCACAAGGCCTTAAGCTAAACCATTTCTTGGTACGTTGAATGGATTTTTGTTCTGGGAAAGAAGCCCTGTAGTATTTTCTACAGCTGTTGGTAGCACCACTGTTCCTGTCATAATCACTAATATGTTCGTCACTTCATGCCCCCACTGCAACATAGGTTAAGTCCTGTCACCTTATTGTTGCTATACACACTCGATTTGTCCGTATGTCGGCTTGGCTTCACTACTAGTCTACCCATAATACGTTACACAGAGTGTTTAACTGTTTCTTGGTGTTAAATACATAAATATACTCATATTTAAAGATATTGCGATTCTGCTGTAGTGCCATGTTTCCCTCCTTTCCGTTAATGTTGCAGACCTGTTGTATCTACCCTTTTCTACTTCATAATTTGGGAATTGCTTTTGGAACAAATAGACCAAGAAATAACACATTTTACCATTGCAACAAACACCACATCACGGCACAATATATTCTTCCACGTACGTATCGTGTCATGGTGATGGTTGTTTCCGTAGTACACGTCACTAATGATTCGTATTGTAAAGAACTTGCCCCAAAGGGCCGCACGCGGCAAGAAGCCATGAATTACCCCCCCCCCCTGCCTCGACTCCCTCCACCGCCGAGGGCGTCCCGCTGAGGTTGTTGCTGGGAACTTCTCCCGCGACCCCCGGCCGCCCGCTCGCAGGAGCACGCGCGCGCACTCCACGGCACGCGTGCCGCCTGCCTGGTGCGGACTGCGAGCGGGGCGACGTCCTGGGACGTCCCGCCTTGTGAATGACACTGGAGTGGAGTCGCCCGGTCGCAAGAGGCTACTGCTTTAAATTACAACGCTCTCAGCCTCGGCGTGTCCTCGCAACGACCGAGGCTCGCGTTTTGATTTATAACCCGTACTGTGGACGGGAAGTAATGACGTGGGTGTGGGCTGGTGATGCAGAGATTGGATCCTGTACGAGTAATATTGTAAACCCTGCATTATATAAAAATATTGTTATTTTTAGTTCATATGGTTCATATACGTTTCGATATTTTTGCTGGTCAATAAATGCATTTATATATTTAACATCAAAAACCATCGCGACAAAAACCGCATGTGGCAAGTGTAGAAAAGCCGCACACGTTTTGTTTTGTTGTGCTCCGAAATCTCTTCCCGGTATCTTTTATTAGGATAGTTGAATTGGGAATAAAGATGGCTTGTTATTCACCTTTCTTTCTTTTTGACAAATTTTATCTTCCTCAAAAAGTAAAAAGAACACTTTTCAAAGTTAAAAAAGAAATTTTCCGAATATTTTGTAGCGAATAACAGGAATATTTCTAGAACTTCAAAAAGGAAAAATATGTTTAAAAAATTGTTTAGGACTATTTTTCTATTTCTTGCACAGGTTAAGATACATTTTAATAACAGTCTAGTATCTTTACACGTTCTGTGACAGATAGAAGATCATAACCATTTCCTTCAGTTTAATTCCGCATCTGTTTGTTGAAATTGAAAAATATTTTGTAGAATTTGTACAATAATAATTTGCTTTAAATTGTATTTCGGAAAACGGTAAAGTAATATAATTATGTAGATATACTTCATAAACTCACTGAACTAATATTCTATTAAATGTGTTATCGTATGTATATGAATATGTATTATCGTCAGGTTAACTACTGGCAATTCATTAACATTATTCATGTCACCATTACATCATCAACACAACATTATGTCAAATTCATTCGTAAAACTGGATGAGCTTAATAAGTTTTAAAAAACATGTAAATTACACGCCATACGCACTCTACACACACACACACACACACACACACATATGGCACATTTCTCAACGGAGAAAATACTGTGAACGGGAAGTAATCAGAGCATTTCTGCAGAGACTGGGGTCATACACGAGTAAAATCTGAACAATATTTTGAGTGTCTAAGACCTAGAGTGTCAGAGGATACGTATCAAGGATGGATTCTTATACAGACGCAAAAAATCATTCACAAACTTCCTGCTTTCATTAGCATTACTCTTCACGATTGTGAGCCCAGGAAAAAATCAAGAATGTCCTTTTTATATAATTAGCACAATGACAAAACAATAATATTTGCGGGTTCGTAGGTCTCCGAGGCTTGAGTCTTGGCTATCCGGGATGAGTCGCGTCTCGGTCAATTGTACTAGTACAATTGTGTAGTACAATTGACCGAGACGCGGCTCATCCCGGATAGTCAAGAATGCAATAATATTTGCGCTTTCTTCTACAGAAATATAGTCTACATAATCGGTAATCAATATTCGAGTCGTAGGTACTAGGTCAAACACAACTGCGGATTACAAATAACATTATCGCACTAGTGTTCTTTGCTCTTTAGAAAAGCAGATTGATGATTTTTTTCTCTCCGTCATTCTTTTTCGACCCTCCTCCTCAAGCTTAAAAAAACAAATTCACAAAACTAAACACACCAAAAAAATTCTAAGGCTTAATACATGTTCTCAGATATGGTTTAAGTAAAACAAACAACAGCAAACAAAATAATTGAGCCTTTGGTACCCACTTTATTCTATTATTACACTTTTTAAGGTATCAAAGCAAAGAATATGCTCTGAAACGATATTTTCCAGCTGCGTTTCCACCAGAAATACCTGGAAAGAGAGGACAATATAGTTCAAACAGTAAAATCTGCCTTGATCATCTTGAGATATGTGCTCTTATTGAAAATGAATTTCACAGTGCTTAGAAAGTAAAAAGTGGCTGTTATACACTTCAAAATGGATTTTAATAATAGCAATTGTTCTTGAAAAAGTGTCCAAATTAATTGTGTCGCTTTTAATTAAATTTCATCGATGTAGAGATTGAGGATAGTAATGTTTGGCCTTACGACCGAGATTCAAAATGTCTTTATTATCAGAGCAGCTTGTGTATTAAAGTGAAATTATAATGTATAATGAGTTTGTATGAAATAATAGGTTCATGAATGTGAAGCACGTAGTGATGTAACCGGGAGACAATTTGTCTTCGAGTAAACTTGCTGTTGAATATACATAGTATGTCGAACAGTCATCACGTTCTTTCAGGTGACTTCGAACTCTTCCACTTTCCAAATCCTGGGGGAACCCCCGAACTCGAGTGTCGGTCAAACTGCCGAGTCCCTACCCCACCCGAGACACCGAATGGATGCGCGCGCGAGCGCGGGGTGCGTTGGTGGAGGAGCGAAGAAGCCCCGGATGGCTGGTGGATTCCACCCGACGCGTGACAAGAAGGTCCTTGAAACCGGCTCCTTACAGGAAGGGTATCGCGTGCGAGAGAGAAGGAATGTGGATTGTTTTTCTTACGCTGTAAGCTCCTTCTCGGCCCATTATTTTTCAACTCTCCACTGTGGCATCTCTTCGGAGCTACCAATCATGTGCTGTACCACTGAGACATTTTTGTGAGATAATGCTCGATTGGGAACGATTGGAAACACGTTACATTACATTGAAACATTAATTTATCCTATTAGTTTACGAATGTTTGCTTTGTTTCTATATTGACCCGTTTCGTGAATGTGTGTAATCACATCGCAGTCTTCAATGCAATGAATATGCAATGTCGGAATTATCTCTTTAATCCTTTTACATTTATATTTTAGTTTAAGTATATAATTAAGCGAAGAAATCCTAAATTTAGTCTTGATACCTCTTCTTGAAATATCGAAAATTCTTTCCATACGAATTTTCAGAGACGAATTCTATCTCTCAATATTTTTACAAAATATGAAGGAATAGTAAACGATTTACGGAGTGTCTGAAAAGACAATATTGGTGGTCTATGTAATAGTCAATTTAATTCATAACGTTTATAATATTATGTATGATAACCGCTCAAGAACGCCTACATTTTTCGAAGAGCTTTTTTAAAATGGCTTGAATGAGTAATGTTCCTTTTAACTCTCTACGACCTCAAAGCTACGTAATTTGTCATGTGAAAATAAGTTAAGTACCAAGAAGTGTTTATACGTTAAGTTTTATAACTTCACATAATCCCAAGGGTCACACCAGACCAAAATGTGGTAGTGCAATGAATGAACGCCATAAAATTTAACGCTCTCTTTTTCCTAAAAGATGAGCACTGAAGTACTGCATCATTTACCAAGCGTAACAAACATGTTTGGACTTTCGATTATTCTTCTTCGTTCCGTTAAGAACTTGTTTTTCCGTCCGTTGATTCCATTCATGCTACAGTCGAGACCATTCCAGTTTCTTTTGAAAAGCCTCACGAACACCGTAATAATTGGAATTCATTTCCACTTCCTATCTCCTCGGCACTGACTGAATTATTCCAAAGTTTATCAAGAAAGAATGAAAAGGTTTCTGGATATGTTAGCAAAATTCATCTATTTTGGATATTCCTGCATTCGGGTGATGACATTTGTCACATTGCATGAAGATGGATGTAGTCCTTACGAAATATTCACACGAGAGGACAGATATAAACTAAATATTCTGAACCGTGAAACATGTTTTACTTTCTTTCTTCCTTTCTTCACTGTGTAAGCATTTTCCAGGCAAAAGTGAATTTAAAACAGTAAAGACAAAGCAATAATCCAGAATCTCTTGTGATAGAGTGCGACACAAATTGTTTTACTGAAGGAACGTAGTAAGGTAGTTCAGGTTGCTTATCGGGTTATAATATTTACCCCTTAAAACCCTATGTGTTTTTTCAGTTTCAAGAAGTATCATAATTTATAAGTAACATCGAAGTCTAACCCACAAGTCCTGTTCTTCACACGTTTGGAAGTAACGGCAATGCTTCATTCAAATGATTCTTCTTACTCATCAAACTACAAGACTATCTCATCAAAATCTTATTAAGAGAAAGTATTCACTCAGTATTCACATACGAAATTACAGTAAAACAAAATTAACAAATGATCTTCGTATGTATGAAGATAATGTAGAGGGGTTTCCCTCCTGAAAATATTATGAGTTCTTGATGAAGAATCGTCTTCATGCAGATAGAGTTTCTCTAATGCGATGAAGCTGTTAGTGGAGACTTCTTTTGTGGAAGACTCTCTGAATCGTACACATTAATTTACAAAAAATCAAACCAGTGCTGAGCTTTAAGTCATAACACATAAACATGTACCACAAATTGAATAAATTCATATTTTACCATAAAACATGCCTCGTACTTTCCCGAAATGCTTAATTGCCATACTAAACATGCTAAATTTTGTGACTTACGAAGAAAACCCTACCAGAGAAAGGAGTTAAGCCACGAAACACTCACCGTGTTGCAACACGTCCCGGACGAGGAAGTCTCACCGCAACGCACCCACACACTTAACGTCACTCGCACACACGTGTACACACTCGTATCACACAACCACCGTCACTAACTCGCAACTCACCACCCGCAAGCCAATAAAAAAACACCTTCGCTCACCCTCCCACGCCACAACCACCGCAGACAACCACCGTCACTCGCGGGACCTCTCACTCTGGGGCGACGCGCCAGATGCCCTGGGGTTCGGTTCCGGGCGCGCGGCGCATGGCCAGCCCGCGGGGCGTGTATTCCGAATCCCGCGTCGACGCGTGGCGGCGGCCCAACGGTGCGTCCAGCTACGCTCACCCACTCTCGCGACCTCCCTCCGCGGCGCCTGTCCCGCGACTGAGGGCGCCGCCCGCACCGCCGCCATCGCCGCCGCCGCCGCGCCGGCGTGCCTGTGTTGACGTCCGAGCCTGCGGCCGAGCCCGCGCGGGGCGCCACCAGCGCGCGCGGCACGTCGGGCGTCGCGACGGCGCGCTGGCGCCCTGAGGTTCCTTGCGGACGGGTGAAATTTATGGCCCTAGGAATTTACCTCTTGCATGTCGGAAGTTCGTACTTGAGTGTCGACTGCGGGTTCGTGTCTCGCGCACTGAATTTTCACCGAGTGGTTAAAGGGTGATTTGTTTCCCACACCATCACAAATTTCATCCGAACCATCATCCCACTCATAGTCATTCATTATCATTCACCTCTTATGATTATCCATACCGTTGTTCATGAAGAGAGTCAACACAGACCACTACTTTGGCCACCTATCCAGGAAATGAGACGACTGAAGAAGCCTCCCCCGTCTAAGCGTACAAATGATTATTTCAATCAGATGGGAATAACAAAATTAACAAGGTACAATGCACAAGGTACTCCCTGAAAATTGCCGCGGCAAAGCAGAAACTTAAATGTATTGTTCAAGGAGCGCTCTGTGCATAAAAGACGGCATCGGCAAGATACCGTATGTCGCGGCGTCTGTACGATAGATCTCCTGCCCTATGGCCGCAGGAGATCTTCGAAATAATTGTAGGTTTCATTCATGTAGTCGTGGACGAAAAGGTCCTAGGTCCTAGATCCCACAATGGGAGGATATCGAAGCTGATCCAAGCCTGGATGATAATTCAGACCACCGGATGCTTTAATCGGTTATCTTCGTAGTTTCCTCTTATCAATTCCAGGTAGATGCGAAGTAGCCTAATCAATGGGTCACGGGCGCGCGATCCTTCCCACCTCATCCAGTCCTTATCCTAATCTTTAGGAGTGACCGTTAGGCAGATTCCTAACCTCGTATATATCTCCCTCTATTGAAAGAGAAAATCTGCGCTAAGCGACTAATAAATAGGAGGGAGCTAACAGGTGCGAGTCTCCTAAGACGCTACGTATATCATGTGAATTGTACCACAGCCAAGGAAATAAACAGTATAGTATTTTCTGTTAATTGTTATATTTATATAGTGGATTATAACTAAACCCTTTGAAGTGAACTCTTGGGAATAGTACTAAGTGAACTCTTGAATGGAAGTGGACCGTCAGGATTCAGAATGATTATTTCTCATGACCATATTTTGAGTTGTAAGTGGTCACATTCATTTCCCTCACGCATTATAAAGTTTCGCAGTGCTGATGCAATGATGGGACTGTAGTACCTCACAAATAATGAAATTTCTCTATTATCTATAACTGTTCCACCCCAGTTCGAAAGTACAGATATAATTTTGGGGAATAAAGATGAGAAACAGCGCTCATCGAGAGACAATACCTCAATATGTGTCATTTTTCCTGAACATGAATGGGTGGTGAATGTGCACTAGTCACATGAACGAATGTGTTCGACGACGATAGAAACGACAAAAATAACAGTAATTCTACCCGGACGGTTTTTATATCCGCACTGCCCGCGAGGAGGTTTGCAAGCCCACTAATAAACCTCAGCCACAAACGACAGCGCAAACAATACATCTCCAGGCGCTTACGAAACTTTGGAGATGCGAGAGCACGAAAAGTAATGGGGGATTTGATCATAAATTCAGTTTGCGGGCCCAATAACAAACTTCGTTTGCAAGAACAAACAAAGCTTTACACAAATCGCTTCTCAAAGAATAAAAATGCATTTAATAAATAAGCTCCAGAGCCCCTTCGTTTAAAATAAACTTAGAATTCGAGAATCAATGAAAGGAATAAAAGTGGTGGTCGCACAAATCTGCAACCAAGCTAAACACCACCACTGCAGTTTCCAACGATCCCATGTCGTGATTAAAGGTTTTATTATATTTACGAAAATCATCCAAGACATTTCACAACGTTGATAAGCTACTGATAATTTTCATTGATAATATAATCAATCGTCCCGAGATAAATTTATGACATTTATGCCTAGGTCTTACTACGAAGCACAATTTCAAAATATTTAACAATTATAACAACATTCGAGTTATTAATATTGTTCAGATTTCCTACAAAATTATGGGTAATTGCACTAAATTACTTGTAAACTAACGCAATAGCCCTCTAAATGAACGTCTAATAGACCTTGGTTGCAGAAAATATTTACAATAAGACACCCACTCCTGTTAAATCCTTCAATAACCGTAAATAAACGCAAAAGAGCCTATCGTTTTCGTCCAAATTTTTCGAGAGAGAGGGGGTGCAGAGGGATCACCGGCCCCCTACACATTTTGAAAAGGACCCCAGAGACGATAATACATTTTCCCAGTAAATATTTTCAATCCTCAATTTTCCCTTTTTTATCCAGACGATTAGGAATTTTTTAAAATTGTATTTAATTTAGGTGGCTTTCAAAACAGCGGAGATCATTAGTAACCACTATTATTTTAATACAAAGGTAACAACATTTTTAAAATTATAATAAGCGTAACATAATTAATTACAACAATATTTCGCAATAATTTAATTTGTCAAACCCAGCAAATTTGGAAATTTGTTACTCGACATTATGGGAAAAGGATCTTCAATTCATCTGGCAAACCCTGTAAATGGTTCACTGTAAATGCAATCATTTAAGTTATAATTATCTGCAGTCTATTTTATGTATTTACTAGTAAAATATGTCGTATCCAAATAAAATATTAATGGAAAAGGGGGCCCTGAAATGCAGTAGGCCTCCCATGTTATTTTAAGTCGCGCACGCCTATCAACGGGGCCCAAGAGTAGGTTCTTTGGCTGTGTTTTTCTGCACAGATTTCTTATTGAAGGCAACTGAATATCTTTTGTACACTCAATAATTTTAAATGAATTTGAAAAGCAATAGAGAAAGTTTGTAAATATCCGATGTCGTTGTTTCAAGCGAAATTTCAAAAATCATTAAAACGAACGTGTTTGACTATCCCACTTTTTTCATATCTCTGAACGTTTACAGCGGAGGGAACGACCTGCAGCGTAGCTACCAGAGTGCTAGCTTTCCGCCTCTGACTACTGAGGTTCATACCGCGACCACTCCATGTAAATCTTATGGTATCAGGTTAGCAGTATACTTTCTCGAGAAGTTGTTTCATTTTCCTTAAATGCATCCATCCTTCCTACATCCATTCATTATATTCACTAGCGCAACCTGGAATTTTCAATATAGGTAGTGTTCAGTGGACTTGATGTTTTCTTACAAAGAATTTTTCACTGATTCTGAAATGAAAAACTTTATTTTTATTTGCTGGTTTATAGTTATTTAGAAGGTTTACGATTGAGATTTTGAATCAATTTACTATAGACAATTAGTAAAAACTAGATTTGATAGAAAACTATAAGGGCGCGCAAAGGGTTGGGCAGCTGGGGTTATTTGCCCGAGTCCCATACCAAAGTGGGGCCTCAAAAATGTATATCATTCAATACTTCTTTTGAAAAACCATTAATGTAGTTGAAATATGATTCACTTCAACATATATTAATTAATTATTGTTCTAAATAAGGGGAACTTTTGTTGGAAATAAGGGACCCCATTGAACTACTGCCTGAGATCCCTAGTTTTCTCTGGGCACCCGTGATAAACTATAACACATCATGTAATCGTTTCCTGAGGGAGGGCGAAGCTCCATGAGCCCCACCCCCACCCTCCTTGAGTTCGCCACTGATCAAAAGGATTATCATGCCCATTAAATCATTCATCCAGCCCAGGTATGACCAGATGGCGCTGGAATCATAATAAATTTAAAAGTTTGTTGTAGCTGTAATGTACTTTCCCTACTCTGAATCCACTTCTGTCGAGAACACGCGCAGAGTGCTATTTTCGCGTGAGGTGCCGTGTAAAACGTCACAAGTTCCTCAGCTGCGCGCAGGTGGAGAGAGCAGCGAGCGGGGAAAGACCGGCTGGGAGCAGCACCACAACCCAGGAACTCTCTCCACGCCGACTACCACTTCTCGGGGGGCCTGCACCGCTCGCCTTCGCGCCTCAATAAACTACCATTCGGAACGGGTCGCGCTCCCGAACAGGTTGATACTCGGTTAAAACGACGACAAAGAATTTATGTACCGTTTCAATCCAGAAGTTACGTTCGCTTTCTGGGTACAGTGCGACGGGGAGACGTAGGAAACGGTCGACGCACATTTACCGGCTTTTAGCGCGGGATAAATATGATCTCAGGGGAATGAACCTGAGGGACCCATTTGCATGGAGCCTTGAATGTCTTCCGCAGGCCGCAGCGTCTTTGGGAAGGAGAACTATGTGGACGGCATGCAAATTCGCTCGATAAATTGCGACCGGAATGGGTCCACTCGCCTGGATGTGCTGGAGTTGACTCGCAGCGTTTAGTTTGCGGTTAGAAACTCTCGCTGCGAAGAGTTATGTTCTGCAGTAATTGATTTAGATCAAGGTTCGGACATCAGTGAAATAGAGATTCAGAGGTGATTTGTGAGACGGTTCCATACAACTTCATTGCAAATGCTAGAAGTGTTCATTCTGTAAATTGATGATTTGATGATTTCTGCTATGCAGTTGTTTTGTAAACGCAAGGTTTTTTTCTTGGATAAAACGTCATGATGAACAATAACTTCGAGTGATGGTATTTTTTATGTAATTTGTTTTAATATAGTCCGTAGTTTAATGTTCGAAAATACAGCCATTCGCATCGTTATATATTTTTTAGTTAGAAACCTAATTTAACTAAATGACATTTTTCGTCAGAGCATATAAAGTTGATATATAAAAAACACATTTAACCCATTCAGTTATTTACGATACAAATAGCAAACACATTTTTTTACAATTTATTTATTTATTTATTTAACGTCAGAAACAGTTAAAAACTCCATGTAATGTATGGGGAAGAAGAACAAACCGTGCACTTCTTCATGGGTTCAAGAATACATGTTCTAGCTCATTTACTATTCGTTGGTAGCAGCGAATACTTTTGGCACAATTCAAAAGCAAGGATAAGCTCGTTTAATGGAAACTATGTGCAACGGTAAATTATTCAAAGATGTCGACTCATCTCTTACTGTGACGCACGTGAAAGAATAGGTCCATTAGACGTTTATTCTAGGTGCCAGGATTAATCCAGCTACCAACTCGCAGAACTTACGAGAACTTGCGCAGAGTAAAGCTTCAGACTGAAAGCAAAGGAAGGGAACGGTCTCAGAATTTGCTTAGTGGAGCTAGGGAAACATAACACAAACCTGATCTAGATGGAGACATTGATGCAAAAGAAGTGTACAAAGAAATATTTATACATATTCAAAAGCAAACAAATAATTTAGTTAATGTTTAATAAAATTTTCGTTTATAATCTAATTTTACCATTCAGAATATTCAACATGAACAAACTGTTGAACATTTTTATTGTTTCTAAAAAGTTAATTAGTATTTACCATTATTGTAAACGATTTCTTTGATCGTTGTCCTCAATTGAAACTCAAACATCTTCATACATTTTCTTGTACTAATTCAGATGGAGAAAATAAATGTTTTGTTGAATAAATACAGAAACTCTTCATTCCTTCAAGCGCAAAATGCCTGATGTTTTTAATGGTATTATAATACGGTTTTTAAAAGTACATTATCCTCGAATTAAACATTTTACTCGTATCGCAAGTTACGTACATCCGTATTTCTTTGACCCCGGTGAATAAGCTGATAAGTCATGAATGCTTAAATTTTACAGGAGAGACAAAAAACCACTTTCAACTGATGCTGTAAATCAAGTATTAATGATTTCAAACGAAACTTACACACAAATAGTTTAGTTTGAATATCACCTTCGTCTGAATATCATTAATCCCTGATTTACTACTTCAGTTGAAATTTTTTTTCTCTCCTCTAAAATTAAAGCATTCATGACTTATTAGCTTATTCACCGGGGTCAAAGATTTTATTTCTTATACCTTGACAGGCGTATTACGAAAACTGCTGATCACTGCACGTACGTAACTAGAGGCACGATGGGATAAAGTCCCTCTATAATCGAAAATAATTCAGTATTTTTATCAGTTCACTATTTTTAAAATAAATGATAACACGGTTTTTCACTATTATGAGATAAAAATATGTCTAATTTTGAAATCACTTTTCGCAAAATATTACACAGAAAGCGTTTCCTTCTTTTGCAGCTTGTATGTTCTTACATCAATTGTTAATCCGGTGAGCCCACCTCGAAAAACCAGGGATGGATGTACCTACAAGCAAAATATGCAGTTGCTTAGGGTCTCCCACCCATGGCCTCTCAGCGGACCCTGCTCCCGGAAAAGTGCATTCTAAAAATTTGAAAAAATGAAAAGTTCATGAATTGTAATTGTATCTGTTAAGTAATTTATTATATTAATATAAAATTATAATAGTAATAATAATAAATAATTTATTTAAATAAAAATGTGTTCAATTCTATAAACAAATTGTTAATTTCCATTTGTAAATGTACAAAAAGTTATTTTAATGTAATTAACGTTGTTAAGTAAATCTGAAGGGGAGCTCCTCAGTAACTTAATCCGACTATGCGAAAAACAATTCTGGTAATGCCACTGGCTCACCGAGTAAAAAAAAAACAAACAACACCCTGCTAAAACTAAGCAAGCCAACCAAACGTGTGACGTTTGCAAACCACTTCCACATCCCCCAAGATGTCGGTTACAAAATTCCTCCGCTGAGGGCGACCGTTACGTGGAGAGAACAGCAGCAGCGACAGGTGCAGCCCTTCCTGTACACGTGGGGGCTGCCCTGCCAGCCTATTCATTATCATTCACATGGGACTCGTTACACACTTGATAGAGTAGAGAGCAATGTCGTTCAAATGGAAGCAAAGGAGAAAACTTAATTGATAGAGAGGAAGTCTGGTTCTTCAGTCGCGGCTTAATTCAAAGACCAAAATGTTCATTTTGTCTTTGGCAGTAATTCCTATAGGGGAATACATGATTTATACTCGGCACAGAATATGATTCGAGTATCTTATCCATGAATTGGAAAACCAGAATACGGTTATTTCACTAGCTGGGAGATGGATAGATAGTTCTTATTTGTTAATTTTAGTTTCTCAAACTATGTTTTCCCTGATACATGTTTGCAAAATGGGTTGCTGATCAAGGTGTTAACTACAATATTTGTCATCCACAGATGAAGTTGAGGGGTAATGTAGAGCTCATGTCCAGGGCTTTGAGTATCCTGGTAATGAGCGATACAAGGAAAAACGAAGACTTTAAGTAATGTACAACTGCGTACCCTGTGTAAAACTGTGTGGAAATAAAGTGATTCAATTGAACCAAAGAATAATCGTTCTCCTTTACAGCAACCGGTAGGAAAATCTCATCCCTTGTTCTTCCGCCTAAGTCATTTCGATAATTTCCCGTACCTCGAGACCGTCCCATCAAAATAGGGTCTCGCTCGAGACGGGGAAGGACTGGAAGTAAAACACACTCCCAAGAAAATGAATTTCCTGCGCAAAGTAAACTCTATAAAATATGTCGGTAACCGCAGTTGTAAATAATACTTTAATTATGCACAATATACACTGGTCTTACTGTATCAGCAAACAAAACATTTTTTTTATCCTCGTCAAGAAATGTCTCTTTTCATCGATATATCTCCTGTCCTCTGTAATATTTCAAGGCCGAGGAGAAATCGAAGTACAAGGATTTTTAAGATCAACTCGTAGAGCAATTTCGCTATCAATAATATTTTAAAATCTGTCAATTGCTTCCTGCCTGCCAATATCTCCTTAAACTTTGACATATATTTCTCTTTTCCCCTAGAACCAAGCTTTCCCACGTTAGACCAGAATCAATACGTTACGCAGTAATCATTTTCATTATACTTTCTTCATGGAAAAGAGAATATGAAGGAAAAATCAGGAAAAAAAGAACAGTGAGGACAGCAACCTAACGTTTGAAATACAATACATGCACAATTCTCCTATTAAGGAAGAATCACGCTAAAAAGTAGGTTAAAACAGCGAAGATGGCGACTTGGATGGAGTAACATATAAAACGTAAAATATGAATAAATACATACAAAAATAGGAAACAAACATCTAAAAACGAGACTGAAAGTAAACTTTGCATTGATAAATATCATAATTGTAAACGATGTTGATAGAGGAAATAAGCAACATTAATAATAATTTTAGTTTAAGCAACAAAATAATTTTATTTTTAGAATTGATTTTGATTTTAATATGATGGTTTTCTATATTATTGTGCATTTTATTAACTCATTCGTTAACAAATGTGCTAAGTTAATGTATTGTGACTATCAGGTTCTTCTTATATCAAGCTCTTCGATAAAAAAAAATAATTCCACAATACGTTTTTGTGTCTGGAAGCCGACACAGCGAGAAAACAACCTGAGTGCGAAAGAGCTCCTTTCATCGGAGCGCAGCTTGGGAGGAATCAACAGAGTATATAAAGGCGGCGAGGAAACTTGTTAATTGAAAGTTGTCCTAAGACTGATTTGCAACATGTCAGAGCAACAAATTCTTCGCCACCTCTCCAACCAAGCGCGATTCGGGCTCAAGACACTTCTCGGTCTGCCTCACACACTAGCCATTCAGCCTGAGCCGAGCCAGGCTCAGAGCATGACTACTGGCCGATTTAAATATAGTGTTTTTTGGCAGATATCAGTGGCAATTATAATCGATTGATATAATATTAAGAAGACCAAGGCAAACGGTGAAATCAATCCTTTCACTGAGAAAGAAAACAAAACGGGATGGATAAAGGCTGTCCCATTTGTGAGAGGTAGGTAAACGGCTTACGAAAAGTTGATCGCGGGATGCATTCGGTGTACGTCCAAGCGGTAAGTGCCGAGGGCTAGAAGTGGCGCAGGGGGCATTTGCTTGCGTCTCGAACGGATCTTGTGGAATATCTGGCCATTGCCCACAGTAATAAAGCCTTGCCTATTCATTTGGGGCTCTGAATACGTTGACCTTAAATCCCAAACTACTCGTGGGACAGAGATGGACGATGAAATTAAAAACGAAACTGAAAACAACTAAAACGAAAAAGTACAAAAAAGAGACAACAGTTGGGACAAAAAGCGAATATTTATAGAGCAATCAAAATAGTGCATAGTTCACTACAGAATTACAATACTTTCTCTAAATTAAATAAGTAGGCAAGAAAGTAACTAGTGGATTCATGGAATGACATATATTTTGTCTTATTAGTTTTTTAATCTCTCAGTCTGAGCTAGCGCTTCTGAAAATGAGCATGATTGCTTAAAGGATGGCTGCGGGAGAATTACTGGACCCGAAAAAATGGCAAAACATTTTTCTCTAAAAATTACATTTTTACTTTCCCGTATACGTACGTATATGCGGAGTACTATACGTAGTGTAGGGAATGTAATGTAATACTGCAGAAAATTGATTTCGAAATTTCAACGGAAAACATGTTTTGGGGTCCCATGATTCTGAAAAAGTTTTTTTTTTTTCTTTTTTCAAAACGTCTGTCCGTCTGTGAACACCACTAGCGCCTAAAGTATATGTAGAATTTTTTCCAAAATGGATATTCCGTAAATGCCATATTGCTCTATTTTTTTGTTTCTTCAAAAATTACAGAAATGCAATTTTTTTGACTTGTGTCTCACGTTGTTAATATTTATATTGGCGGCAATTTATCTACATTATTATATTTATGAGTACATGTACTTTAAATAACGTCGTATAAAGTTTCTCGAAAACTCAATCGTTTTTAGTGAAAACGAGCACAACATTCCGCATTTTCAGAAACGCTCAAACGCCATTTTCTCAAAAACTGCTCCAAATTTTTTCTTCGAAGTTTTCGAACGGATAGTGCTAATAGTGCACTCTTTAATATGATGTAAAGTTTATTTCGAGGATTTTTTTTTTAATTATCCAATTGTAATTTTTTTGAAAAATCTCTCACCGTTAATATGCACATTTCCAGCAATTTAGTAAATACAATTTTATTTGTAAGTTAAAGTGCTTCAAATGACTTTATCAAAAACTCAAAGATTTTCTTTAATAAAGAGTTTCAAATTTCAAATTTACAGTTGCACTTAAACGCAATTTTCTTAAAAACGTCTCAAAATTCTTCAAAGAAAATTGCCATTTAGGACTAGGTTTTACTGTTCTTTAATATTTTTAAAATAATATTTTGGTTCTATCAGAAAACCGAAACAATATTTTTCATATTTTGCAATGATTGTTTTTTACAATGAAAACATTTAATAAGAGATTCCCCAATACATTCAAGTTATTTTCTCTGCATTGCTTTCAAGACGTTAAAACTATTACAACTAGCTATTTATTATTTTATGCTTATGAGAAATGTACGCCCTGAATTTTCAAAACAATTTATTTTAAATTTAAAAGTCTCCTCTGATTTGCGTGTTATTTTCATAGTCATGAAATATGTGTATAGAACAAAAATCAGCCAGGAGGTTCTTAACTCTGTAAAAATATTTTTTGTGTCTCCTAAAAAATCTTCTTGCATGAACATGTAGGTCTTATTATTAAGAAAATGGAGGGGTATGTCGATGTGTGAGGGCTGGGAGAGTAACGTCGTCTCAATGCGATGTCAAAGCCCTATGCAGACTTCGATACAGCCAATGAACTGCTCTCTCGTGGAGAGAAATGGAAACAAGATGGCTTCGCTGGGCTCACAAGTTTCGACATTTCCGAACGCTATCTATGAGACATAAATAGAATGATTATTGCCGAACAACTAACGTTTTGGTAATGCTTCACAGAGAGAAGAAAAAAGCCGTGTTTTTATTCCTTTGCAAGCGAATACGTCACGATACGGAGTTACTTTTGAAATTGACCCAAGGACTACGTCCAATTTGAAATATGTTGGAAGAAGCATTGTAGGTCATTTATAGTGGTTAAATTCCTAAATACATCACGGTTATTATCTACAAAAAAATTAAGTGACTAGTCTTGGTTTCTTCTGTAGAACATAATAAAACAATAAACTTGCAATGGACGTCACTTAAAAATTGCTGAAAACTATGATTACTTTCTTTTCTCAACTAATGATTATATTTCCATTTTTATAATATTACCTTATCATTAATAAGTAATACAAGGTATATTTGAAATAACTCTTTTCATTAAAGGTCGTGAAATCGTAGGTTATCAGGTACGTAATTTACAATGGCTGCAATATTAGGTTTTGCGAGTGTTTCAATAAATAAATCATGATTATTATCATTATCCTTGGAGTATTAATATACGATGTACAGTATTTAAAATTATAAACGCTCTAATATTTTGTACGTAAAAAGCATACATATGGGACATACTTCATATTTTCAATTACCCGTTCACTTCCACAAACACCATGAAGTGCAAATATCCTAAAAGCCAAAGTTGATGCATGCATCTCAAATTATTATGGAAGAATCACAATTATGAAATTCTGTAAATGACGTATGTTTTGATCTTTATAGAATTTGCAGTTCAGTTGTTGGTAAACGAGATATCCCCACACCTCTTGGAAGACAATTGTACACATTTGAGCTCAGCTGCATGATGTTCTGACGTTTGGAACGCGAGTGTACTGCATTTGATTTTCTTCACATCTGAATAATAGCTTTCGTTGCTGAGTGATTTGAGCGTTAGGTATTTTACATTTAAGACGAGTGTCATTTGAATTTCAAGTGGTCTCGCAGTGCTCTCGTGTCAACGAAGTGCCCTGGAACAGAATAAGGAGCAATCACAGTTGCATTCTCCGAGAGTTTTGCTAATGGAAGTGGAGGCACACGTCGGTGTGTGTGAGGAATTGAATGATTGTGTTACAGTTTGCACTAATGGTGTTCCCACAGTGGTGTAGGAAATTAATTAGTTGATTTGTGTTGCCATTTTAACTTGGACGCAAATCGTGTACAATGGCACAGCTAGTCGACGTGTTCCGTGTAGAGAAACAGCAGCCCCTTGGCAGGAGGCAACTTCCTTTAATGGTCGATGAAAATCTCACGGTAAATAATAAGCTTTGTGAAATAAATAGTGTGTAATGTGACAAAAATTCACGACTAAATACTGCCGTGAATTGGTGAATGGTGTAGTTTCGTTAGTATTGATGGCATTTATCACGTAAATTGTGTCACTTTAACCCCATTACAATTCCGGACGTTGTAAGGAGTGGTTTCTTGCGATTGTCTTGTACAAATTTTGTGATATAACGTGTAAAAATGGCATGAATATTGGCTGCGTGTAATGGTTGTGTTGTGTTGAGTGATGCGTACTTGGTTACTTCGAAAAAATCAATGAAATAGTGCAAATTATTGAAAGCACGGAAGTGGCACTTCATCTGCTGTTAAACTCATTTCTATTCAAAGCCGTATTTTTGGTTTTCAGATGGTGATGGATTTAAGTAGCATGGGGCTTATTTGTGATAGTCCTCTGATTCGGGGAAAAGAGTTAGAGGAATTTAATAAAAAATTTAATGTGTTAACTATTCCTGAAGCTAAAGAAGCTTTAGAAGTGACATGCAAGGATTTGCTGGGCATTATTAGTCAAACCGTACCCTGTGTTGGCTGTAGGAGAAGGTTTGTAGTTCTTAAATTTTCATAAGAACATGAAATAGATTAACATTTTTAATCAATGTGCATTTTCTTTTAGTGTTGAAAGGCTGTTTTACCAGTTAATTGAATCTGGTCATAAAGCTTTGGACCCTCTTGTGTTTACATCTGATGGAATATTGACTGTCAGAAATGATCAGTTATCTTCTCAGATACTTTGCACAATGTTTCATGGGCACAGGTGAGGCTTGGATATTTAAATCTAATGATTAATTTCATGACAGCAATGGAATGTCCATTTTTATTTTATTGGAAATATGTGATTGACGCGTAATACCAGAACATTTATACAGAAATTGAAGAGTTCAGACTGGCGTGAAGTCACCTTATTCAAATGCTCCAATTGGTTGTTTTGTTGTGTCAATCTAATTTATATGTAATCAAATAAGTATGTATGGATGAATTTTAAATATTGTTAAGTTCTAACTGTTCATGCTGTGAACTTAGTAAAGGTAGAAAATTAATTGTTCATTTTTTTCTTTTGTGTTTAGAACTAGGTTGAGCAATCTTGTTGAAAGTCAAACTCGATCAAAAAAGAGTCATCGATGTAACCTTCATTCATTGGACTCTCATCGGTCACCACGACCAATGACATCTGTATGGAGAGATGTGTGGGAGTGTATGAAAATTCAATGTAAAGAAGAAGTTGTATTAATTGAATCATCAACTTTGTTGGTAACATTAGAGAATTATCTTCGTAAACATAGGTAACAAAGTTTTTAACAGTAATAAGGCAATTCAGCTGCTTTCTGTATAATGCAGCAAGTAAGTTATTCTGTTTTGTTTCACGTTTAGGTTTTGTGCTGAATGCCGTACAAAAGTTCTCAGAGCGTATGCTCTTTTGATAGAAGAACCAGATCCTTGCAGAGAAAAGGGATATGTTCCTGCATTGTATGCAGGTATCAAACGGTGTTTACCAGAAAAACACATCCACTTACAAACAAAAACAGATTATATTGGCGGGCTTATTACAAGGGCTGATTTAGAGCTCATGGGGAGGTAATGTGTTCTATAACTTCTTTTTTTGTAATTTACTATATATCAAATATGAAAATATATTAGAGTGTGTATGTATTTATGCAATGTACACATACACATTTTTATGTTTCCATTTCAGTCGGAGAGAGAGGCATGCTAAGACATTAGAAATTGCTCAAGAAGAAGTATTGACATGCTTAGGTTTATGTGTGTATGAAAGATTATATCGAATTCACTTGCGTATGCGAGAAGAAGAGTGTACATGTCAGGTTTTGGCAGCTGTGGCTATTGAAGCACTTTGCCGGAACTTTGAGGTGAGTGGATATGATGGAATGTGAATAAATTAATCAAATCATGGTCCCAAAGTTTTACTTAACAAAATTCATAACATTACAGATGGCAGTAGAAGGTAAACAAGGAATGTCTCAGTTAGAACTATTATTTGAACAAATTGCCAAGGAAGAGCTAGCCAAAGCTCAACGGAAAGAACATAAGAAACAGAAAAGGAAGAAGAAGAAAGAGAAGAGGGCAGAACAAGATGAGAAAGAAAATACATGTGAGGTATGTACTTCATTATGAATTGAATATTTCATGAATCAGAAATTTCAGATTCAGTAATTCTAGAAAATTCAATTGCAATAGTAATTGAATCCAAAATATTTTTGTTAATAGATTAAACATTTTAAACCTGATAGTTTTGAATAAATGTAGCAAAAATGTAAAAACCCTGGGGAGAATACGCAGAAGCAACTTATTTCCAGTTTTGGATATATACTTGTTTTTTCATTCTTTGTCCAACATCATGCTTATTGATGAAGGCATTGTGAAGAGAAAATGCATTGCTGCAGCTGAAAGTGAAGATTTGTGTCAGAAAAATTTGTACACTAGATCCCCGCAAATCCAAAATTTCAGATAATCAGAACAAAATTGAGAATGGAGAAAAAATGCTTCTTTGTAGTGTAACGAAGGGATTTTATAATTACTGTAGAACTGAACCACTAATTATTGAAGTACCAGTTGTCAAAATTAAACTTTTATTGCATTGGTAACTACAGTGTATATCACATATTTATGAAGCAATAATTGTCACTCAGAAGAACTTGCAAAATCTGTAATCTATTTTTTTCCCATAAGAAACTGAATCTGCATGATGATGCGATCACTACACTGCATTGCTATTTTCTCACATCACACTCAACGTTACATTGTCTGGTAATCCTAGACATGTATTTGTATTATATACAGTACATTTTTTTTGGATAATCCAAATATTTTTGAATCTGAACAGACCACACCCCCAGTTAATTCAAATTACCAGAGATCCACTGTACTGTAAAAATTGATGTTAAAAAAGTGGATGACTCCTTTTCCTAAAAGAAGTATATTACTTCCTTGACATTGTGTGTAAAGAGAATCCATAATTTATACCAAAAAAATGTGTATCGATCCCTCTTCGCATGCGGCGATGGTGTAACGGTTAGCGTACCGGACTGTTGTACCCAAGTTGGCGGGTTCTAACTTGATCGAAGCCATGAATTTTTAAGGGCAAAAAAATCCTTTGTAAGCCTTCCTTCGGAAGTAAAGCCGGCTGTCCCATGTTAGTAGATTTACTTGCATGTAAAACATCCTCAAGCCTAAATGATGCCTCTGAGCTAAATTGAAATCGCCTGTTTCTCACCCAAGAAATACCTCCTTTCTGTGCTGGTTGGTGAGAGGAGCATAGCGAAATGTACGTGGTCAGACGGAAGAGCAGGCCTCATGGCCTGAGTCTCGCCATTTAAAATAAGGCATTAATTCAATTCAATTCAATTCAATTCTTTCTGCGGACATCATGGTCATCTAAACCGTTCAGATGATTTTCTCCAAAATTGATATTTCTTGATTGATCTGACTGGATTCAAGGCCCTACCAATTTGGAAGTGATATTTTGAGTTTGGGAGTACTTTTCACGAAGCCTCAACAACATTTTCTCAAAAAGGGTACTGGATTTTGGATTTTTTTTTTAATCAGTTAGAGCACACCTATATAAATGGCACAGTTCTAATTTTTGTTTACCTCATTTGGAAAAATCACACAAGTCCAACATTATTTTGGCTTCATACAGTATTGAGGAAGACATATTTTTAAATAAGGTAAATTTTCCAAAATTAATTCTTTTTGCTTGAAATATAGACCTTTTTTTAATTTTTAATTCTCAAAAACAGTTCCCAATTTTTGCTTGAATAGAGTAAAGTATGTTTTTCAAAATGGCAAAGTCCTATCGTTGATGAACGTTCTGCATTTTTGAAAATTGCAAAAAATTAACATTGCAGTACTACAATATTGGTGATAGAGAACTTTTCCTAAATGAAGTCTTTTCTAAAATATTAAATATGTAAATAAGGTTATGTGCAATTTTTTTATAATGTGTTCAATTTTCTTATAATTTTTGCTTATCCTAAACCTTTCCTCTTATCCTAAACTTGCAGATTGGCTACCAGGACCCTTCTCTTCCTTTCCCAGGGTAGAGAGGGAGGTGAGAATCTGATGCTTCCATTTAGGGCTGATGCCTGGCAATTGTAGGACCTTGCTATTAAAAATTTTGCAGAAATCCTTCAACATGTGCTGTCACACTTGTGGAATTGTTTTATGGGTTAAAGTTGTGCGTCTGGTGAACCATTAGAATGATTCAAAGGGGGATGGGATGTGATATTGGTAGGAAAAGGAGATGGTAGGATGTGCATGTCTCCTGATATACTCACCATATGATTACCAAAGATGTCCAAGATGATGATTTTCTAAAAGTTTCCAAGTGGAGGTCAAGGCTTTGGCCTTTGGACCGCATAATGAACGTAAAACATTATTGAATCAGTGCAATGCATAATTACAAAAGCATTTTATAGGAAAATGCTTTGAGGAAAAACTTGCCTTATTATTGTAAATATGGATCTTCTCATTCATTTTTGCAAAGCATACACTGCCCTGTCAGAAATCCAATTACATCTGCTTAATCTCATTTCACCAAATAAAATACCATTTAAAATATCCAAAATCACATGCACTTTCTTCTTCACCACTGTGGGTTTTTTGTGGTTTCCCTTTTACTTCAGAGGCACAAATAGCCCATTAGCCCAAATATACTCCCATAAGTTGTAACATACTCTCTATCAACAATTTCTTAGATTCAGCTTGTGTACTTTTTGTAAAATTGTTTACAGTGCACCAGGAAAGTATCTCAGCAGTGGCTCCTTGCTGTTGAGTGTATTAGCAACGGAAAGTATGTTGGTAGCACTAGTTGCGGTTCATAACAAAAGAGAACTTAATTGTATACTTAGCACAATCGTGACAGGTGCTGGAAGCGTTGTCCCCTTTACTTGTTGTTACCCAGTGATCTGTTTGCTGCCGACATAAATTCAATTTTTAATAGGAGGTCCTGGCTCAGCTCAGTCTTTCCTGGTGCTCTGTATCATAATTGCTAACATTTAATCAATTTTTATCTTAATTGTAGGAATTACTTGTTGATACTGATCAATTTATCTGTTTGTTTCTGCTGTGCCAAATGAAGGCTTATGCCACATTTGTGTCAAAATTAAGGAAATCCTACTGAAATACTTGGCATATTATTATTATATTTTGTTTAAGTATTGTGATGCTGAGTAAACACTGTTTTTTTGTAAACATTTTTCTCATTTACTCTGTGACAAAGGATGTTGCATTGAAACCTTAATTTTTTTTTTTTAATGAACGCAATCTGGGCTAGGAATTTACACAACAGACCCCCTTCATAATATTTTTGTTTGTTTTATCTTATGACATCTATGTTCATGTCAACGATAACATCCTTTCTACTCTGTCGGTATTGCATTAGTGGTTGATGTTCTTTGTGTTGTAATTTTTGCAATATAATCTTCTATTGAAGACTTGAAGTTTTGAGGATGTCCAGGTGTATGTGTCAAAGGATATGTATTTTTCACATTGATTTTTTAAATCAATTCTTTATACAGTCTGATATATTTGCCACAACAATGGCATACATTTTCTTCAGTTATTAAACATTTTATTGATATTAAAACAATGTTAAAATGTGCTAATTTGCTTGCATCTCCTTAGCAACAATCTCATTAAAACACAGTTGTATTTTATTTTAGAAATATCAATTAATATTTATATATTCCTTTCAACCCTTGTTATATTCTTTTTATTCTAGCTGAATTCCACACTTTGTAAATCATGGTTTTAAACTAGAAAATACCTTCGTACTGAATCCCAACTTCAGGCGAGAACTAGAACTATTCATTGAAGCATTGAGGACTCATCATTATGGGCTTATTAATGTGTGAATTAAATTTTAAATAGATTTCTAATTTCTGTGCTCTGTGCTTTGGAGTAGGGGACACCAGAAGAGCTAAATCTTCACTCCATTTGACTTGTTTCTTTACAAACTGTTGTCTAATCAATGCTAGAATAGTAACCTAGCAAATGGGTCATAGACCTTGTGTAATCTTTCCTTCCTCTTCCTTGCCCTGTCTTCTCCCTTACTCTCACACATGCATTTCACTACTATACTAGCAGGCGTTCCCTGCTGTGAGAGGTACCGGAGGTGAAAAAATCTTCTGCAAACTGGCATATCCTGGAATCTCACTATCTAGTAGGGGAGGATCACCACCACTTCCCAGCATAAAATGTATTCATTATACTAACCATAGCAGTTGATGAGCCTGGAAACATCAATCAAATCCCCTACACGTTTCCTCACATTTCCCACAAGTTCCTACAAATGTTCTCCTAGATGGTTCTTAAAATGTTAAAAAAAAACTACCAATTCATTATATATTTAAGCCTATTTTAACTGTGAAAATGTTAATTATTTCCTCAAGTTTTTAGTCTTCATGGTTAAAACAATTTGATGTTAAAAAGAATGTGAGGTTAAAGGCACTGTTGACATTCATAATTAATAAAAATCTGCATTTTCTTAGTGTGAATCTGAGGAACCTGAGGACACTGTAAATGAAGAAACCTTTAGTTCCTGCACATGTTCAGAAGCCAAACCTGCTACTCAAAACTCAGATCGACGAAAAGTGAGTATGTTGTGATAGCTTGGGAATTTAATTTGTGTTTCAACAAGTTTCTGTAACTAAGAATTTATGTCACCGTATGCAAATATACATTTACTCTTACACTTATTTTACTCTTATTTAATTGTGAGTAGGTAAAGCTGTAATTTAATATTGTAAATTAATAATAAAAATAATAATGAAACATTTTCCTCCCTAGTTGCAAGTTTTAGAACATAAAGGTAAGAGCTCATCAGCGTGTAGTTGTAAGGATTGTCAACGAAAGAAGAAAGACAAGGTTTCTGTGGAAAATGGTAGCAACAGTAGCTGCAATCACCCATCGAAATCAGTTGCATGCCAAAAGTCACAATTGCAACGTGGTAGGAATGTCACAAATGGCCATTGTTCTTCAGAAGACCTACCTTCACCTGCAAGAAAGACTGCAATTCACAGTTCAGTGACTGTAGTGAGAAATCCTACAACATCTTGTGCAAATTTATCTCCAGAAAACGTTTCTCTGTCACCTTGTCAGTCATGCAAAAATGCGCAAGACTCAATGGATGAACATCATGCCCGTGTGTCTGATACTCAAACACCTGTACTTCCGGCTGCATGGTCCTCCAGTGATCATTCTCAAGATTGTGGTTATGCATCAGAAAATAATAATGGCTGTTGTGATACTGCATCTGTTTCTTCAAGCCTTCGCAGTTCACCTGATGGATCTGACATTGCTTGTTCAGATGGGTTTTGTAATCATGAAGGTAATTAGTACTTACTTTGTGTTTTTCTTCAGAGCTTTCACATAATGTTTGTGTAGATATATATGTGCGTGTTGTGTGTATTATATTGATGTGATGTATATATATATTATATATATATATATATATATATAATAATATATATATATATATATACACATATAATTATTTTACTTATATTTATCTTTATTCAGATTGCCAAGGAGAAAGAAGTGAAATACAAGAATGCAGTAGAACAGTTAACAGTGGTAGGATGGAAGAAAGCCATAACCATGAAAATAGATATCCAGTTCTGACCCTGGAGCAAATGTTGGAGGTATGTTACTAATTATTTTATACTGCTTTTAAACTGTGCTCTTCATTTCTTTCTTTGGTCTTGCTGTCCCTCTTTATCCTGTGGCTTTGTGATATAATGCTAGTTTTGGAAGTCTTCCATTCTTCATTCGCTTAATTTACTGTACCCTTTAATGAGATGCTTTTATTTCTACAATATTTTTTGTTCAATGTTTGTTTCTGATTCAAAAAGTAGCTTGGTTTGGATGTTGTATGTATTTGTAGTTTCATTTCCTGAGTTCTCTCCCAAAATTTTTCTTTTTATTCCATTGGATGTTGGTTTTTTGGTATATCTAATAATTATATGGAAAAATATGAGGCACTTCGTTTTAACGGGAAAGCAACAAACCTGGTAAATGGAAATACAGTTTTTATCAGTCAACATTTTATTTGCTGGAAAAGTCAAGGAATAGTTTTATCTCAATTCTTTTTGCTTTTGTGTATTCTACTACATAGTTCAGTACAGTATGTAAAGCTGCAGCAAAAATGTATTTTTTTTTTTTTTAAACAGAAAAGGTTTATTTTTTAGCTGATACTGATAAAGGGGATTTTGAGGCAGAGCCTAGGTTTGTGACTTAGCCCTTCTAAATATTTTTGCAGGGGGATACACTATTGCAGATTCAAGAAGTTACATAACAGTAAAAATAATGCAAGAAAGTGTATGATGATGTAGCATCACTGGAATTTAAAAAAATGAAAATTAATTAATAGATTACGTTAATTCTCAGAATGAATTACATGTTACGAGTGCTTACTAATCTTATACTGTGATTTATGCAACTCTGCCCTGGCAGGTATCAGCTGTTGATAGTTTCATCCAGTTGGGACCTTTTATGTTGCTACAGAACCTTTACTATGGTGATGTTTAAGCTCCTGATTTCAGTCAGGAGATTTCCTGTCAAGAAATGATACCTGCGAGGGGCAGTGTAAAAAAAATCGCAGTATAGTGAATTAGTTTAGAACTTGGTATTATTAGCCTAAGGGATCTGTCCAGACGCAGCTTACTTTCTTTACATGACTGCAGTGTGCTTTGATTTTCAAAAAGATTCTGACCCAAAAGTATACAACATTCAATTTTTTTAAAATATTTTAGATTAATTAAAATAGATCTCAGAATTCCTCTGATGAAAAAGAACTTCTATTTGAAGACAGTAAAGCAATTTCTATTAAAGTAAGGCAAAGTAGGATATTTGCCCGAAATTAATCAAAGAATTTTAGTTCACTAATTTTTATTGACCTGAATTTCTTCAAGGACAGTTATGTATATACAGAGAAAAGAGTGGAGATGTGCAGTGTATCCATGATTGAAATGGTGGAAGCCCATTAGGACATAGGAAAGGGCATTGTTCCTCCGCAAACACAGTAAATTTCTAAACCTATCTGCAGCCCAGAGTATTGTTGTAGGCCACCTGTTTTTATGTAGGATGATGTAATTTTGAGAGCTGGCTTGACTTGTTTTGGTGTCCCCAAGCTTATTAATTGGGGTTACCAAGCATTAAGGAATGCCTGACAGTTTTTTAAGGAGAAAGAGGAAGAGGGGAAGAAAATGTTCTAAATGAAAGTATAATGAGAACTTAAGAGTTATGTTCAGAAAACTATACAAAATTAGGAATTTTCAACCTAGAAATGAAAATTCATTAAGAAACTATTAAAGGTAACATCTTGAAACATAATTTTCTTTCCCATCGTAAAAGTCTTAATAGGGAAGCCCACCGAACTAACAATAATTTTATATTAGATATGTACATTATATTTAGAGGTTAGATTGGAGTGTAATATTTTTTCTGGCAACAGGATACAAAACTGAATCAAAGTACAGTCAAATCTAAGTGGGAGTGGGGAAAAAAGAAAAAAATAACCAATGTAGGGAGGTTACCATATTATGTCAGGTTATGCATTTCATGACACTTGTGATATTGGTATTTTTATTATTATATTCATCCTGAAAGTAGTAAATTACATGACTATTATAATTAATAAAATATTTGAAAATATAATGTATTTATGGAAGAAATCACAAGTAAATTAATATTAAACATATTTCTGAAAATTAAAAGAAAAACTTTATAATTAGTTTTATAGTTTTTTTTCCAACCTCGTTAAACTGGTTGTAAAACAAAAATGCACACCAACTCGCTGTGTAGTGGCTGCAGTCAGACTGTTTACTGACTCTTTCACCGCATAATGTGTCACAGCCCAGAGAACTATGTCTTTTGGACATACTTGCTTCAGGTAGCAATGAGTCTCTGACTAATGTTAATGAATTTACATTATTTCAAGCATTTGTTTGTTTTGGTAATAGTAATCCCCTTAATTTAGTGTATCTAACTATGAACTTTACTGTCTGTGAAACATTGTCCTTTAAGGTTAAAAAGAATTTTAAAAATTCACATTTTTATTTGCTTTTTTGCTGCTTGTGCAAGTCCTTGGTCTGTATACATGTCCTGAAATATCAGGGAAGAAATGTGAGTGGAAATCATGTTTGTTCCTATCTACTTTCTTTTTTACTGAATAAATTGTGGTGAAACAGACTGCAATAATGGGAAGTGCTCCAGACTATATAAAAATACACAGCGTAGATCCTGTTTGCATTACAGTGTGTATAATAATTATTTAGAATGATCAGACATTGTTCTCCTGGTTTAAGAGAGCATGATATCTTTTAACTCTTCAAAATTGTGCTCAACAATATCTGTGTAAACTGAACACATTTGGCAACATAGTTGAGGAAAGAAGAAACAATGTAATGTGTTCTAATAAAAATATATTAAAACCTTTTGCAACCATTCCAAATCAAAACAAATATTTCTTAATCTAAAATCAAAAAAATATTTTTAATTTGTCTAAACCTGAAAGTTGTTTGTATTAGATTAGGTTTTAGTTAAATATTGTTATATTACTCTAAGCCTAATAAAATGATGTTCCACAAGCTTTTTGAACCAGAAAATTCTTTGTTGCAATGAACATGAAAATTGTCTGAAATCTGTGTGGGTAGGAACAGTTATACAAGTACCATATTCTTTAAAGTTGGTTTCTTTGGAAAGGACTTTTAAAGGAAAGTTCACTTCACTAAGTAAAAAGAAGTGGGTGAATCGTAATCAGGTTCAGAATGTAGCAGACAAATTTTATTATAATAGCATTTGGTTAGTAAGGGTTGTATAAAATGCATTCTTCAAAATAGTACACAACAAGTGCATCATGTATTTCTATCCCCCAACCCACATCGTAATATGTTGAAATTGCTTCAAATTGAACTATTTGTACCAAATGTCTAAAAAATTTATTTAATTTAAAATAATTGAATTTACGGTAAACATTTTATTGATTACTGATGTTTATCATACCATTCTCAATGTTTTGTGCAGCACCTATATGAAGCTCGTGGAGTCTCAAATATATTTTATGCTGCATATGATAGGTTCAATGTATTGTGCTTTTAAGCTAATATTTAAGATGAATCCAGCCGATTTACCAATTTCAAATTGTGAAATACACACAGCTGATTTGTTTTTACTTTAAAACAGAATAATCAGCATTTCTTGTAAAATCACCTTCCACTTCATGGAAATATATTTTTCAGCTATATGTTTTGAAAACTAGGACCCACCAATTAATTTTCGTATTCCATTCTTTTTCCTCATTTTTGTTTCCCCTTCAAGTATTATTTTACTTTCAACTGAAATTACGGAGGTTTTAAAAATTCGGTTCTCAATAGCAGCAATTCCCAAGCTCATTGATTGTGCAGTTTGCCTGTTATGCTAAACATATTTTGAGTACAACTAACTAAATGTAAAAGAAAATAAATACACATTTTTATAGATCACACATATACTGTGACCCTCTTGTGGGAGGTAGGAAACTGCTGCTGAATAGTATTGAGACATTGTGATTTGGGAGAATTCTAAGACTGAGTTACAGCAGAAGTAGAGTTGCTTTGAGAAATTTAAAACGTGGGATAGATACAGTTTTGAACTATACTGAAACATGATTGTTTGAAAGTAATGATTTTGACACAGTCTTTGGATTTATTATTACATCATTCTCTGAACACAGGAGTTAATACTTTAATGTTAATAGTATCTTAATTAAGCTTGTAGATTGATTTTTCTGAATTATTTGCTAATGTTCTTGTATGTCGAGAGAATATTTAGAAAAGAAAAATGAAATGAAACATAAAATACCCATTTTTAGTTGAAAGGTGTGAAATAAGACTAAAATATAACATTGAAATGTTAATTTGAGTTGGTGAAGATCATAGACATTTTTAATGAGAATAAGTAAGATGGAAGTAAGATACAGAATCAAAACATTTTTTTTAAAATTTGTTTTAGGGTGGTTATTCATCCGATGAAGACCGCGAAGAAAGTTACATACCTGCTGAAGAAGTTCAAGAATTCAAGGCTAGAATGTGCAATGTGAAGGAACAGAGGCAAGAATTACGTCAGATGTTAAGAAAGCGATTTGATCAGCTTTGTGTTAAAGCCCCGCAGTTTATTTCTCCTCGACCAGCTCATTGTGCCTCGAACTAGGCCAGCCGCCTGTTGGCTCTAGTCCTGAAAGTGATGTGATTGTTCTGAATGCAGATGAAAACTTATACAGTACAGGGAAATTCTGGGTGAGAAAGTGCACATTTTCTAATTTTAATTGCGTAGTTTGGGATTGTTTGTTGTTGCATTTGCTTTTTTGTATGTTTCAATCCTGCTGTTAATTTATGTCAATGGACTGAATCCTGTTCAAAGGTGAGACTCTCAACCAAATGGACTGCTCATTCCCTTTTCCTTCTTTACATTCCTCTGTTGTTGATAGCCAACACTGTACTGAGTCTCTATTTTCATAAAAACAAATAAGTGGTTAGTAATATTCTGATGAAAGTATTATTTCTAATGTTTTTCTTCATTTTGTGGTTGTTGCAATGTTTGCAATCTGTTTATCAGAATTGTTAGAAGCTGTCTTCCCATTACCATTACATGTACTAGAGTTGCAATGTCTCATGAAAACAGCAAGCAAGAGCTCAGACGATTTTAAATCACTATCAAAGTAACTAAAATGAATTTTATATTACATTTTCCACTTCAAGAAACAGAGTGAAATACTGGTTATTAGTATTGTGTGATAATTCCAGAAGCATGCTGTATTTTCATTTCTTGCCACAAATTTTAGTGGTTTTACATATCATGTAAATTCTGGCAGTGTTGATGTGCATTCCATGTTATTTCATCTTCAATGTGATGTTCTATGTGGTTATATAGTGTTGATCATTGTCTTATTAGGAATTGTAAATCATTGCAAAAATTCCCCTCTCGTAATGTAATTTTCTGCTTGCTTCTGGAAAGAATTTGTCTCAATACTTAATGACTGTATTACTTATGTGCCTTGCACCTGACGGCAAGTCACCTTACACTTGAATCATTCTATGTTTCCTATGTGAGAAAATGAATCATGTACAATATTGATATAATAATGTATTATAAAATAAAAAAAAATATTTTGCTAGCTGGGTATTCTCAAATACTTGTGAAGCTGCTTTAAGATTCTGTGGTATTTGTTCCAAGAGATTGATTAGAGGCAAATGTTACCCAAAACACAACTTGTTGAATTGAATAATATAATTTCTATGCTTTAAGAAGCTTGTTGCGTTTTCTTCTTTTGAACTATGACAGGCCAATATAATCGATGAAAGAAATGTGTGATAGGTATAAAGTTAACACCAAATGTAATGATGTTATTCTGCATTCCAAGATGAATGTTGATGTTGCTGATGTAGAGATTTATTGGTAGTTTGAAAACACATATTTGCAGTTCTGATAAGAACTGGTTATGGGAAAGACCTACCCATGAACAAAACAGTAGGACGTTTGTATAACGCAGTTATAATGTTAATGCTGTCTGTTGTCAGTTTTAAGTAAATTGCATGCTGACAAATGTGCTGCTTTCTGGTGTCGTAAATACAAAGACTTGTGATGATTCATGACACTGCTTATTACCTGTTACTATATTCCAAGAAAAAGTGAGCACAAAACAGCGTTATAGTGGTGTCCTATTGTGCAAGGTGCTTACATAATTTAAAAACTACTGTTGGGTTCTGTTTCTACATGTATGGGTTTTTGCAAACAGGTTGCAAATGTCAAACCAAAGTGATTCAGTAAACACAGGTGATGGATATACTGACTTTGTACAAGTATTTTAAGAAATGTACCCATTCCAGAAATGTATGTCAAAAATACCCGAGAAAAATTTATTACTAATATAAAACAGCGGAGATTCCTTAAAGACATTCTTACTGTATACTGTATTCAGTTGTAAACTTGTGTTAAATGGTGATGTTATACTCCTGAATGAAATGAAGTAAAAGACTATTACAGCAAAATATGTGGGAGTTGTAAAACTTTTATTCCCTTTCTAAGACTCTATGTACTGAGATATACAAAGAGAGGCATTAGTGCCCCCAAAACCAAAAGCGTTCTTAACTGCAATTCTTGGTGAAGTTTGAATCCACTTAGAAGGTTTTTTTATTACAAAATTCAACTTCAAATCTTTTGCAGGTTTGTCCAAATTAATAGTTGGTGGCATTACACCAGTTTCACAAGCCAGAACAGTAAACACAGTTTCCAAATTTCCTGCAGCACCAAGAAGATGGCCATGAGCTCCTTTAGTAGAAGACACATACAGGTTCGATTTCGAACCAAATACTGTTTCAATTGCTTTACACTCTATTACATCACCAATAGGTGTGGATGTGGCATGAGCATTTATGTAGCCAATTTCTTCTGGTTTCACGTGGGCATCTTCAAGAGCCCGTGACATTGCAAGCATGGCTCCTGTACCATCTTCTCTTGGTGCTGTCAAATGTGATGCATCTCCTGAGAGTCCATATCCGAGAATTTCTGCATGTACTTTAACTCCCCTTTTTAAAGCATGAGAGAGTTCTTCCATAACGAGAATTGCAGCACCTTCTCCCATGACAAATCCATCTCGCCCTTCATCAAATGGTCGTGATGACTCCTTAGGCCTCTCATTAAATTTCGTAGACAAAGCTCGCAATCGACAAAATGCAGCAATTGACAATGGGGAAATACATGCTTCTGCTCCACCACATACCATTACATCAGCATCTCCATGCTGTATAAATCTAAAGGCATCACCAATTGCATGAGCACCTGTAGCGCAAGCAGTTGAAACTGCATGATTAGGTCCACAGAATCCATATTTAATGCTTATTTGACCAGCAGCCATGTTAGGTAATATTCGGGGAACAAAATAAGGGCTAACCCGGTTATAGCTTTGTTTTAGGGCATCATAAGTTTCACATACATCTGTTAAATCAATCATGCCAACTCCTACAGCCACACCTGTCCTTTGCTTATTAAATTCACTATCAGGAAACCAAGAGGCATCACTCAAGGCTTCCTGAGCAGCTGTCAGGGCATACATGGTTGCAGGAGACATTGTTCGTAGATCACTTTTTGAAAAAATATTTTGGTCAAATTGTCCATTCTTTGAACCTCGAGGTACAACTGCAGCGATTTGACATGGAAGTTTACTATATTTTTCAGAAGGCAATTTATCAATTCCACAACCGCCTTCTAACAAGTTTTTCCAGGCATGGTGAACTCCACAACCCAAAGGTGATACCACTCCCAAACCAGTAATGACAACACGTCTACGTTTTACTGACGAGAATGATCTCGCACCTACAGGCAGAGGCCGATGTTCGCGTCTGCATATTACCTGAAACATGTAGTTTCATGACAGAATATCATAGGGAACTATTGAGTTTTATGAGAATGTTCTCTTTTGTACTAACCATTTCATCATCGGGTAGAAGTGGCAGTCTTTTACAAAAAACTTGGAAAGAGGGTACGTCAATTACAGCAGAAGTGTATTTTGCCAAATTCTTCATGACGTTTATATTAACCTAAAAATATAGAAACGTTCAAGATCACTTGGAGAAACCAACTAAAAGATATATCCAGTATCACCACCTTAGGATAATTTGCAAGGAGGGTGTCATGGAAACTGGGACATTTAGAAAGCTTTTATTTTTTTATTTTAGAGGACTTGTACAGTAATGATACTGAACGGTATCTTGTTAACTGGTAGATTTTGAATTGTGGTAATGACATTTTTTAATGTGCGTTTTGTTATGTTGGACAACTCGTTCGATTTTGTTTTGTTTATAGTGTTCAGAATCGTTCACGGCGGGTGTGGGGTGAAGGTTGAAGCTGGATGAAGGAAGGAAAGAATGAAGGGTGTTTTGTAGCAAGGACTGTGTTGTGTTTTTTAATGTAATATTGGTGTTACGTTAAGGATTTAACGTAGATAGCTCAGTGGAATGGACTCTTGCAGAAATGCTATAGGCGATATAGCAACCTAAGTGAATTGCGGGTCTCAATCGGGTGCAGAAAAATGAAACTACTGGGCACTTTACTTCTTAAAACTTCTTTATTTCAAGTTCCTTCTGCCGTCAATTTATGTCGAAGCCTGTGAGTGTAAAATTAATTGTTTATTTGATTTGGAAGATAAAAAAATATGTTGAATTTATCTGAGTGTTGTTAATTGAATATTTGCATTTGACATTTCATAGTTAATTGTTTCATTTGGTACCAATCTCTATGTAGGTGTACTCAAGTGCCAACACCTGTGTATACTAAGGAAGGGGATGATGGAATTACTGAAACTTGTAAAGGAGATCGCAGGCCAAAAGATGACAATATCTTCGATGCTGTTGGAGCTACTGACGAATTATCTTCGTATATCGGGTAAATTGGTGTTTCATTATTACATTCAATGTATGAATACAATTTTAAATATTAGTTGTTTAAGTATTCATTTTGTTTACCAAATTGTAGTATTCACAGAAAGAAAAATCTCTCAATAGAATTCACATTTCATAATTCAAGTATGTAAAGTATATTCAAGATAACCTCACTTGCCATAAACCAAGTTTATGTGACTTTGTGTATCTGAAAGAACATTTTTAAAAAAATTTAAATAACCCCAAATTTCGACCTTATTAAAATGTTAGATATTGTAGAACTCAAATAAGATGCATGAAAAGAACGGATGAAATCTCTTGAAATACTTGAAATGAATGTTAAATCCTATATAATTGTAAAACTAGGTTTCATTTATCAAATTAATATTTAGGTACAAAAAAGAATTTGTGGACTACAAAAAATTTCAAAAAACAACAACTCAATTTTGTTAAAACATTTTTTGAACAGTCACTTTTTCCCTTTTGGAATATTGGTTGCTACCTGATCTCTCAGAACATATGTGAGCTGAAGAAATGTACGTTAGCTTGAATTATTATTTTAGCCCTATTGAAGTTCATGAATATTTTTAATTATTGCAATTCTATCATAAAAGCAGGTTACTTACCAAATTTATTGACAATTGTTTTAGTATAGTAAAAAATAATCATACTTCACAAACAGTGGGCTTGTGAAATCACTAGTTCTGTGTAATTCTGAGCAATTGGTTTGTAACATGGTTCAGTCATCTTTTCATTAGCGTTGAAGTTAATCTGCAAGGTCAAAGTAACTTGATTTCGTGTTTTTTATAAAAATTCTATATAGTTAGAATTTTATTTGGTTTAAGTTTTACCGGTGGATTACTTTTCTGAGTAAGCAATGTTTGTTATCTTAATTGCTTCAGGGTTATTTTTGGAATCAATACAGGTAATAAGTTGTAAGGAACATTTAAGACAAAAGAAACTATTGTGGTTATAACAGAGTTTGATTGCATAATATAGGTCTACCAAAAATTATAAGAGGTGATGGAGTAAATTGTATTCAAGATTAATTTTTTTTTTCCAGTAGTGTGAATATTGATTTCTCAGTTCTAAAAACCTCATATTTAATGTATAATAAATTTTTTTTTTTTTTTAATACAAAATACCTGGTTTAACATTAAGTATAATATTGAATGGTCCGCCTACAAAATTGTTTTCATTCATTAAAAAAAACTGACATGATGGTTGAATTACCATTTCTATAAATGCTTCCACTGTACCTAATTCATTTTACCTTTAATCTTATTTCTTCTACAAGTAAGGAGATTTTTAACATGATTAATTTATTCAAACCTTTCCCTTTTCACTACATATTGCTGCAAAAGTATTTCATCTCTTTTATTAAGTAGGAAACAGTTTGGGAAATACACTTCAAATATTTGTTATCAAAAATGTATCTTGTCATTTCAGAAACTTAAAGCTAGTTATCTAGTATATTTTTTGTGGTTTCAAGAATTTTAGTTTGTTGTTACCAGGGGTGGATCCAGAGACAAATTTTGTGAAGGGAAATTCAAAATGTTTTTGTTGAATATGTCAAATTACAGATTTTGTAAAATGTTGCAAGCTACTCTCAGATCATGCTACGATAAAATTTTATTACTTTAATGATAATCCGAAAACATTTTTTCACTACCTGAGGATCCATGCCTTTTGTTACTAATACATAATTTGTTACGTAATATAATAAATAAAATTGAACATGCCTTGTTGGGTTATATTGGATCAATGGATGGGAACATGAAATCGTCCTCAAATATCAAGATCCAGAGATTAACATTCTTTCCTGGGAAAATAGTGTTGCACTGAGTCTAAAATTTGGGCTATTTGTGCTTTGCCCCCCCTCTTCAAAAGTTCACTTTTGTTTTGTTAAAATGACTAATGGGCTCATTGAATAGTATAAATATTGTTTCCCCCTAGGAAAACTTGGCCAGTAAATTTGAATGCAGAATTTTCTATCCAAACTATATAATTGAAAGAAATAATCAAATTAAGAATAATTTTTTCAGAAAGAAAAATATGATTAGGTTTTGATACATGGAGTTTTTCAATGCCTTCTGGAGATTTTTCTAGATTAACGACCGGAAACGATTTTGAAATATGTATTTTCAATAATTGTGGATTTACATAATTTTAAATACCCATTTACAACATTAATCAGCACTCACTTCTGTTTCTGTGGATAAATAAATGTCTAAAACATAAATTAAAAATTAATCATGTGATGCTAGCATTCAAATTTTGAAGTTGAGATTGAACATCATCAGATGAAAATTTCAAAGAAAGACTACAGGATTATGGAATGATTGCGAGTGATTTTTTTTATTGTGATTTCTTTAATGTTAAATGATTCTATATTCTTCTTTAAAACTGAGTCTGGGCAGTTTGTAATTGCTATAGTTGAAGTGTTAAAAGTAGAATCTATTATTTGATATATTCTGATAAGTTCTTTCATTCTTTCATAGATTGGCGAGAGAATTTGCTATAGATAATCAGCATGTGTACACAGATAAATTAAATCGGATTCAATGCATTTTGGTTGACATAAGTTCTGCAATTCTGAAGTCCCCTAAACAAGGACAGAGAATGCTGCTTTCAGAACAACATACCAAAGATCTTGAAGAATGGATAGAAGAGTATTCCAGTCAACTGCCTCCACTTGAAAATTATGTTATTCCAGTACGTGCATCAGGAAGGACATATGCTATTTATTTTCATGGAAGCGTGATTTTCAGTTAATGTATTTTACAGGGTGGTGGAAAAGCATGTGCTTCTCTTCATGTTGCAAGAACGATATGCAGACGTGCGGAACGATGTGTTGTTCCTCTTGTTCGACAAGGAAATCTTGACAAAGAAGCACAAATTTATTTAAATAGGTAATGGTTATGTTTAAAGAGAAATGTCTTTGTTTTTGGATTTATAGCCAAATGCCCTTCACATTACAACAGTTTATTTATAATGAAAATTCGATTTTTTATTTATTTATTTATTTTTTTTTAAGGAAACCCCCATATAAAATTAAATATGTGATACTGAATAAAATATTGGTGACTTGGTTAATGATGGAAAACAATTATGTTTCAGGAATTTTAATCAAATGTATATTATCTCATCTAAACAATATGTTGAGAATAGCTGTAGTTTTCTTTGGCATTGAAAACTTGCTTTACATATCCAACATACCCACTTGTAATTGACTCTATCTGATTAACAATTCTTGCTTGCTGATACAGTAGTTATTTCTAGAACTTCAGTGTATAATATTTTGGCTTTGAACAGTTTTCAGAAATATCCATTTCAATACCCTTGTTTATGGGATAAACTGAATTAGTATTAATAACAGTGAATTTCATAATTATAGATTTATTTAATGTACATTCTTTTCCATTTCTCACCATTAATGGGTTGTTAAAAACATTGACATCTTTACATTATTCAAATCAATATACTTTGTGTACTTATTAAATATTGATTTCTAGGTTGGGTGACTTTCTGCTGACAATATCAAGAGTAGCTGCGAGATTCGATAAAAGAGATGAATCTATCTACATACCTCAACCGGAAGTGTCTCAGGAAATGAAACCAACGTAAAGTGATAATTGCAATGAAATCCCTGTTAGCATTGTAGTGTATGTTTCAGACCATTTTAATGTTGGTTGGGATAAGTGTCATTTAACTCTGAAGTTTTTCAGATATTGTTGTATGGTTCTAGTCATATATGTACTTAAATGAATCAGCAGTACTAGAGTGATACATTTAGTGTTCATTAATATGTGACCAGGTTTATGGCTGCTCCTTCAACAAATGTGCAATACTCATTTTAATTTACAGTTGTAAATATTGCAGGAAAGTAGATTATAAAAATTGTTAGTAATGTTCAAAAAAATTTATTAATACATATATGTACATGTTACAACATTTCTTCTCCTTCTGTAACTTCTTTTACATTTAAAAGCTCAAGGAGTCCATGACCCTTGGTTTCACTCCTGACTATTTCATCAACTTCCCTATAGTGACCTGGATCGATTAAGCAGATCTGAAAAAGGTAATGTATCATTAAGAAAACACTATAAACTATCTGAAGGTTAGAAGTATTGTAATGGCTACATTCAATCAATAACATAACTTACCATGCTGAGTTCTCCACTGTTCCATTCCTCTGATTCAACTGTTCCAGCCAATTTAGCAATCTTCTCTCGTAACTTCCGCGCTTCTTTACCAGAGAGCATTATCTTCAAACGCATTTGAGCTCTTTCCAGAGGCATAACTGTTTTCAGCATCGGAATAACATCGAGAGCCTAGACCAGAAAAAAATATTAAGTTCAAATGAAACTATAACGTTGCCACATAACATACAGATTGAATCGATTTTGGAGTACGACGAAGCTTCAGTGTCCTTCAAGAGAAAAGGTAGATGTGGCTGCATTTTTATTTCTAATGACATTGATTCCTACCAGTACAAAAGTAACTGGCACCACCTAGCATTTCCAAAGCCTCAATGGCTACAGTTTTCAATGTTTGGGAGTATAATTTAAATTAATGAATTGCTGAAATGTACTTTACCTTATCTTAAATCCATGTGCATATTGTGGATTTAACTAAAGTTATGCAGAGGTACACAGCTTATTAATTAAACACTTTTCTTGTTAGATGTATTTTAAAAAGAATTAAACATGGCTGGTAACACAAACTACAGGCTTGGTTGTTATGAATCTCACCTGTCACCTTAGTTCACAATTAACATTGCATTATTTGCCAATTATTAGCATATGAACTAAACATCATTAATGCAATTTTATGTTGAAGATACTCACTTGTTGTTTGGCATTTCTGTTAGGTTTTACTGAGAAGTGTACATCTTTCATGGCCTTTTCTATCATGGACACTGGATATGGTCGCTTTGTATCAGGATTGACACACTTATCTGACAACAATAAATTCATTTAATTTTGATGCTGCTGTCTTAAATCTATAAAGTTTGTAAACATTATTTCATTAAAATCACTATGTGGTAAAACAGACCACCGCAATACGGTTAAAAATGTTTCTTTTCAAATCACTACAGTAATTATTAGTACAGTACATAATCACAAAGCAAGTTGAAAATAATTAAGAGCAAATATTGTACATAACACTAACTTTCAATTCATTGCATTGCAGATATACAAATAAAAAATGTAAGACGTATGGCACTCTATGCTTTAGACACTTATTTAATTAGGCACAAATTGGCTTATTTCTTTTAAATCAAATAGAGTAAATTGTTACAATAAGAGAGCACCTATGCTAGTACATAAATGTTAAGTTTCTTCACAAACGAGATAAGAAAGATCGAAATATCATGTAATCTAATTAATACTGCATCGATTCAACTTCATGATTTTGAATCTAATTGTTAATTTATAGTATATATTTTATCCCGAACGTCATCCTAAATCTATCTTAGTCTTGATATCTTGTTTTATTTCAATTTAATACATTTTTGTTTTCACATCACAAATAAAAATTTTTCTGGTAGCCAAACATACCTGAAACTGTGGTAGCAATATCTTTGTACAGAGCTTCTAAATGGGATTGCCTTTCTTTATCTGACACTTGCAATTCACCTTTAGAAAGAATTTCTTTACATACTTCAGTTTGGTCATCCTTTCCAAAAGCTTTAACTATGTCCTCCTTTTTAGCAACTTGTCCTTTTGATACATTGGCAAAAACTGTATGGGTCTGAAGAACTTCATCAATATCCTTCTCGCTGAAATACAAACACCCCTATTATAACAAACGCTGCAGTATCGGATGTACGCTTCTAGTTCGAAAAAACTCACACTCCATTTCTCCATGATACTACTTTATTCCTGTAACAAGCAATTTCGAAACGTTTGCCACCTTTCTTCATTCTAACTACAGCAACATTTGTGAGACGGATTTGATTTGTGGGTGTAAATATTTTCGACATCTTGCACTATTGCACCACACTTCCTTCCAGTTCATAAATGTCTCCAATGCCTCTTCGGGATCTGCTAGAATGTGTTCGAATACGTTGTACGTTCGGTATATATCTAATGTATGAGAAAGTGAGCCTTTTGCGAATGTGACTCAATGTTGCGCACGTTGGAAACTCTTTGGTCAATCCTTTCATACTGACTTACAAATTTCTCATACTCTCCATGCATGCGCAATGACATCTGTCTCCTGTCGATTTCGTAGGAAAACTAAGATGGCTCCAGTAGTTTGGGGAAGAATTGAAGTTCCAGATAACGTTTGTGCATTTCTTGTGTTAACGTGGCACCATATATCAAGAGAAGAGTGATATTATGTATATAATTCGTGTGTCTTGAAGTGAAGAACATTGTTATGGCTCTTGTTACTGTGCAGAGATCACCAAGCGTAAGCAGTTGCAGTTCTCCTCGAAGTTCTGTGAGTACTGGACAGCAATATTTTGAAGTATTTTGTTGAGATTGACTATTATATAATTGATTTTAAGCACAAAATCAGGAATGTTTATTTATGTTCATCTGACTGCTGTCCTGGAATGTAGTTCAGTCTCTTTGTTTTGGTTGGCAATATAGGACTTCGAATAGTAAACAGATTTTCACTTGCCTTTTATTATAAATAGAAGAGTTACTGCATTGATAGTACTTATAATTGCAAATATTAATAATTTAGTACTGTCATTTCTCCAATATAAATAAAGTTCAATTTTTGGGGTTTGTTTAGCTGTTTCTTCAAATTAAATAATACTACTTAATACTACAAACATTTGTTTACGTAGTAAAGTAGAGAAGTGAATAGTTGCTTTCCTTATCTTTCGATTTCATCACTCGGATTCTGTTAGAATCAAATATCGATTTTTTAAAAAAAATAAAATGTAAACATTGTGTTCTTTGAAGATATACTGTAATTATGATTTTAAAACGTGCATTAGTTATAAAGTTGAGTGTTGTAATTGAATAATTAATACGATTATTTACTTATTTAAAAAATAACCTTTATCTGTTATTGAAAATAGTGTTAGGAGAGGGAACGAACAGCTGTCTGTATGACGTAGTTCTTGTTGTGTTCGTTAGGTAGCAGTAGCAGTGTCAGCTTGCTGCCCTTATTGTTCCTGGTTTGACCAAAAGACTTCGACAGTAGTCACTATTTTCTTTAAAAAAATGAACAAAAAACAACGAAATTTCTGAAAGTGCTCAATCAGTATAGCTACTTTTCATTGGGGAAAAACATTGTTTTACTTTATTGATTTTATATGTGAAAGTTATTGTTTTAAAATATTGTTATTGTCATTGATGGTGTCGAAAGATGATTTTGGTTCTTGCCAAAACCCATACCGCTCCCATACCCATAACCATAAAATTGATCTCGATTTATTTTACAATTGCCGTGTTGCTGAAAATGGTAGTGCAAATTTGGAAATTATCGAGTTTTTTCTCCTAATTACTAACTTTCGATCATTCTTAGTTTATAAGTCTGCCTTAATGTATCTTAGGCCAAAAACATAATTTTTCTTGAGTTGTTATCTTGAGTGTTTTACCACATAACATTTTGACAATTTGCATTTCTTCTATTGCATTTTGAAGCAGTCATTTTTGGACATTCATAAATGGAGAGAACTGTCTGTGGCTTATTCCCTTTGTTATTGTCAGTTCGTTTTATACTAGTGCTTTTTGTTTTTGTTTGCATGCGTTTGTTGTGATTAAATTTTTTGCTATGGCTAGTTCGGACATTTGAATTGCCCGCTTGGGATCAATGTTGGGATTGTCAAAATACATCCCACTAAGACCGCAAACTTCATAGTAAATTGAGGTGTCCCGTTTACAATTGAGGTTGCTCCTGTAAACAGCATCTAGAATCTGGAACTATGTGAACAAGAATGCTGAGAAGTTGCGAGTTTGTACAATAAGATAATTATTTCGTAAATAACTACAAAATAAAATATATTTATTCAGGAAATTGGAACCGATAGATCCGATCGGAGGAATCTGCTCGGCTGTGTCAACTCTTCTAAGGCGACTTGCGTCATAGTAGCTAGCACATTTACCTTCCGCTACTACTGCCCAGATGTGATTCTCGATCACACCATGTGGAATTTCTGGTGGAACAAACGAGCTCTCAGCGGGTTTTCTCGGGGTTCTTCCATTTCCCTTGCCTCTCTATTTCTCCATCATCATCATCATCATCATCGTCATCGTCATAGCGTGGGCCACAATGGCTTTAGAAGGGCATCCAAAATCCAAAGATCAAACACTCAAATACATTTTTTAAAATTATCTGGCCGCTTTAACGACCAATTAATTGCTAGACCCTTTCCCATCCGATTAATTTTATCTTTTAGGATCACACTGCCAATCACATTGACTTATTGTCCAATTTAAATAGTGATTGTGACAGATCAATAGCCGTGACACTGTTGTCCTGTCGGGAACTACAAATTAAAGTCGTAATGAAGCTCCTGAATGGATAACTTCGTTCAGTTGATATGTCACAACCCTCTATTTAAATTGGACAATACGGTCTAACAAACGCGAGTCTGGATTTCTTTTACATTGCACTTTGTTATATTTTAAGTTTGCTTTTTGGCCAGTGTTAATTTTTGCGAGAGTATTTGCATTAAATATATCCAAACCCTTACTGTATTTTCAAGAAATACTTCTTTGGGTGGTTTGCCTATTGAGTAGTATTCCGTAAATTGAATGAAGTGCAAAGAATAATTTAAACTGTCACTTCTATGGCCAGGTGAAAATGAAATGAACGCAGGCGAGACATTGTGGCATTTATATTGAAACGAAACCGTAATTATAATTAATTTAATTTGCCCATAAATTAGCAATTATTTGATATAATAGGCTAACACTTTCGCATAATTAATACCAACACCAATATTTCTGTTTAATTCTTTTCTGTGAATGAAATATGTTCTTTCTATAGTAGTTTCAGTTGCCCTGCTCTGCTCGCATATCAATTTTATAATGAACAATTTCCTAATATCATAGTAATATGATATTGATAACTGATTTCAATGACATACCTTTTAAATATTTCTTTACCTATGGGCATTGACATTCGACGGATTATAACTTACCTGGTCGTGTGCAGACAAATGCAGAAAAGTAAAAAGCAATGCAATTGTGTTGAAAATAAATTTTCAATAAAGATTTATCCAGTTTAATCGAGAGATTTCTTCAAACAATTCACGCAAAGTTCAATTCACGCACTTCAAAATTACGCAAAGTTTCATGAATTCTAAAAGAATGTACATGTCATTGTTATAGATTTAGATAAATAATTGACTGTTACCGCATTTATAAGTACAAACTTGTGATATGGTAAGTGGTCATAAATAGATTATTATTAGTAGTAGTACAGTCAGTTTATATCACTATATATTTAGAATTTCGATCTCAAATGTGAGGCCCTCTTCAGTTTCTGAGAAGCCATTTGTTACATTATACTTTAACAACCAATAAGTCATGTAAAATAAGTTACAAAAATTACATCAAGAAAGTACAAAAATTGTAATTACTATGTTAATCGGTGAGATAGAGTCGTCTTACTTTTCGAATAGTGAGGTTAAGTATATATGGACAACAAAAGTAGGTGGCATATTATAGATGAACAGGTACCATTGAAAAATAGTTTATGTTAATATTGAATTTCTTGAATAATCCATTTTTGAAGTTATTCTTTTCCTGGAACTGTGGATATACTATAGCTAAACATGTTGATCGCTCATTCGTCAAAACTATGCGGTGGAACTAATAAATATACAATAAGCTTGGCGAAAACTTTTGATAGACATTGTTGTGTACCATAGAGCAGGAACAGTTTTTTGTTCTTACTGTGGAACAGTTGCCGCGTTTGGAGAAGAATGTTGAAAACATTTTCTTTCCGACGCTTAGAGGCTGCTTAACTTTTGTTAGAGCATGTTCGTCGGGAAAAATCCATACAGTAAACTGGCGGTTATTTTAAGGATCGAACTGATAAATCCACGATTCGGCACCAGTAACTATGTCAGAAACGCGCCTAGTTATCTCTTTAAAATCTTTTCAATATTTCTTCACGCCATTCCACACGAATGTGCTTTTGTGTTTCTGTTGAAGGGAGAGGCTCCCATCGAGATGCATCTTTCCTGACTCCGATGCATCTTTCCTGACATTCGTGCAGGATTTTGGAAATTGTGGGAGATTCAACCTTTCAATGTCCTTAAATGTCACGTGTTTGTTTTCGCGCACCAATTTTTCCACAACGACGATATTTTCTTCAGTCACTGCAGTCGCCGGACGCCCGCTCCTCTCCTCAACTTTCAAATTCTGCCTCTTCTGAATTCTTGAAACCACCGAAAAAATGTTGCACGAGAAAGCGCAAGGTCCGTCCCCGAAGGCCCGTTGCAAACGATCAAGGTTTTCAGATTCGTTTAAACCTATTTTAAAGTCATAAAGAATCATTGCACGAAAGTGCTCTCTTGTCGGCTCTATTCTGACAACTGAATGCTGTGTCAACAAAAAGAAAGGTACGCCTCTTAGCAACAGCGGTAACACCGAGCAAGTTCCAACTTTCACGCGTTACTCAGTAACATTCTTAGAAAGGTAATAATAGACCTCAACACATTATATCTCAAAACTTCCGTATTGATATACCATTATGGGACCGCAAAATTAAGAAAATGTGAAAAATGTAGTTTGGGCAACGATAGATAGAAGCTGAAAAGAGGGTGAGGCGAGACCGAAAAGCTAGTCCAGACCTAAGAAATTAAAAAAAACTAACTAGTACGAGAAAGTCTGTGCGAATTTGTAGCACCACTAAATTTAACATGTCAAGGAGTATTACCATTGGGTGATTTCTCCATTCACGTTCTTCTAAACTTGGGAATACATTTGCGCACTGTTATCTAAATTGAGCAAATTTTCAATAAACAGTGTTTTTAAAAAAAATCTTGAGGGCTTTCGATGAAATAGTACGCCTTAGAAATGACGCATCTGAACGAATACACCGTCATCCTCTCAGCAATAAGCTTAAGCATCGTCATCTTCGGAATTTCTGCACTATACTCGAATATGTGAATCCTTTAAGAGGCAGGCTTACAGGCGTCAAATTTATGATCGCGATGTACATTTTATAGGTGGGGAGAAGAAATGTGCATGTACGCTGTCTTCGATCTTGGTTTACCGATATCCCCAATGCAGTATATTTCAACTTTGTCTCTGCTTTTATTACGAAAATGCTGTCGTGTGTTGTGACTTCAGCTGAATTGACTGGTTATCCTGAACGAGTGTTATTCAGAAAAGTTGTTAATTGCAATTATGTGTTTAATGAAGTGGCTTTGGTTGACTGTAGTAGCATTAGCAGTCTGTACAATAGCAGATAGGACATCTATCTTGAAAAGGGCTAAAAGTTAATTTTTACTTCCCCGCACTTCGTAAAACAAGAAAGTATCGTATGAATACGAGGAATTTTCGCCAGAAAAACCCTTACTCGAGCCCTGGCAACGAAAAAGTTCATAAATTTTCCTTCATGTAGTAAATTACTTCTTCTAGTACGTCTGTTCTAGTACTGTCTGGAAAGGTTGAGGGAGAGAATTCCCCTTGTTAGCAATGATCATACTCTTACATACCTGGGAGTGAACTACTATATCTGGAACGGCTTCCCATCTAAAGCATTCATATCAAATTTGATGGAAGCAGTGTCAACGCTTCAAAAGGCGCATTTAAAGCTTACTCAGAAGTTGACATTCATAGCTTCATAATGCCTCATTATCTTTATCAATTGGTTCTATCCATGCTATCTATGTCGATGTTCAGGGAAGCGGACAGTCAGATCAGAGTGGCAATCAAACAGTTCCATCTGCATATGAGTACTGCAAATGGCTTATTCTGTCTGGCCAAGAGAGACGGAGAACTGGGATTGCTGCGGCTCACCCAACACGTTCCTTGAGTTGCGCTTATCCTAGGATTACGATTAGAAAAAAATTGTAGATCCTATGTGCAGGTGGTTGAGCTCCTGTCCGAGATTTTACTGACCGCAAAATCACTGAGTCTCAACTGGCTCTATTCTGAACACGATTTAAGGGCTTGTAATAAGAAATGCGCCGATGACGAGGTAGCCGCCTGGGAGAAGCTGGGATCCCAAGGGAGAGCGGTCAGAGCGCATATAAACGATCCGATTGAAAATGCTTTTTCGAAAGATTATCATCTTCTGAAACGTGGTCTTTTTATCACTACACTCCAATTGAGATCAAATACCGTTGTCAATAAAACTACTCGTAGTAGAGGAAGGTCCAGAGAGGATGTATACTGTAGGAAGTGCAATGCTGCGGTAGAAACCATGAATCACATCCTCGGTCAGTGCATTTTTACGAAGCCAGCAAGAACAAAGCGTCATAATGAGATCAAGAACTTCGTAGATGCTCCGGAAATCGAACACTGCAGTGTCCACGGAAGCCACTTTCTCCGTTACCGAAGGGGTTCGACTCAAACCTGACCTGGTAATAAAAAAGCCCGGAAGGGGTCCACGTGGTCGATGTGACTGTTCGCCACGAGGATGGATCTAGGCTTCTGAAAGCAGGGAAGGAAAAGGTGGTAAGATATCAACCTGTCATCTCACTGGCAGCCCGAAGTCATGGAGTACCCAACGCCAGAATCCTGCCAGTGGTGGTTGGAACCTCTGGGGCTATGCCAAGATTTAGAGTCAGTACGCTCAAGACCCTGTGGATCACGTCTCGAGGCGATCTACTGACAATCTCGTTAATTGCTCTCAGAAGCTCTATTAAACTCTACCCACAATTTGTAAAATACGATGGAGCAATTTAGCATTGCTGGTAGTAAATGCAGGAAAAAAACTTCATTGTCCTGTGAGGAAGTCTAGGGAACCCATTGGATCCTAAAATGCCTAGGAATTGCTCAGTTACCACGACTTTAAGTAGGAAATGTATGCTATTTAATGTAGCATATATAAAATTGTGTAGTCAAAAACCATGTTTTGTGGGGCCTTGAAAATGAAAGCTCGTGTGGCGGTAAACGTCTCTGTCCACCGGTCTGTCAACCCGTCGGTCTCAGACTATGTGGATAACGCTAGTGCCTAAACCGTTCAGCCCATTTTCTCCGAATTGATATTCACCGATCGATCTGAACGAACACGAGGCTTTGCAGGTTTGAAACGGATATTTTGATTTTTGAGGGTGCTTTACATGAAGCCTCAACATTTTCCAATTTTTTTTCAAAAACGACTCAAAACTTTTTGATTAATCTTTGTTGTCAGGTAGCCTAAAGGAAGCTTAAGAGAGAGAGGTGTAGGTCGTGTATTCGTTGAAATCGCTGATTTTCAAAAAATTGCAAAATTTTACAAATTTTCTTTTGGCGTCCTTCTACTAAATAGAAGATGGAGGTTTTTTTTTTTTCAATACTGAAATCTGTTCTTTAAAAACACGTCTTGAAACAAAGTCACGTACAAATTTTAGAAAGTATGAGTAGTTTTCACGAAATTTCGCGTGAAATTTAGGCAATATTTAATTTTTCTAAAACATGTTTCTTAAAAACTGCTGCAATTGTTTCTTTGAATTGTCTCCCCGTATGTTTCAAAGGATGGTAAAAAATACGTCTTATTTCCGACAAACTGTCTGTATATTTCAAAATTGCAAAATTGTTAGCATTTCAAAACTACAAACTTGAAAATAATGAGATTTTTGTCTCAAACAAAATCCGTTCTAAAATATCAGATTTTTTTAAAGAAAGTCATGTTCAAAAGTAATTTTTTTTTGAAACACGAGTAGTTCTTAAGCGCGATTTAAGCATGGAATTTATGCAATTAAAAAAATCATTTTCTCAAAAACCGCTCAAAATGTTTCTTCCTTTTTTCCCTCGAATAGAACGAGGGACGCTTAAATGAATGGCGCAGGTTAGTTGTCATTGAAGACTCTAAATGTTCGAAAATTGCTAATTTAGAAATAATGCGAAAGTATGTAATTAGCACCACTATTTTGTTCAGCGTGAAGCACTTAAGGGCTTTTGAGCCCTTGCGTATACGCAGTTCCAGTTTCGCATCCTCAGAGGCTCAAAAGTAGTATATGCTAACGTGTTTCATGTTGTGCAATGTCTCTACTACATTCTCATTGAGATTTCAGTGACTTAATTCACGTGATTGTTTTAAATTTAATGCTCGTGTATTTCAAATTATAAGTAACAGAAAGGTTTGATGTACCCAAGAACTTCATCTGATGAATATACAAATGGTACGAACTGACTCTGGTAAACCCAGAATACATGCAGTATAGTCGTGACGGACAAACTACGTACATTATAGCCGGATGCCGATACTTGTTATGTTTTACGTGAAATGTCAGAATGATTTCGGCGTGGCGCTAGGCGCGGTGCAGTGCGTCGGCGGCCGCGCTTTCCCTCTGCGGCCACTTGGCGGCGCTGCATGCGCTTTCGGCGCCGCCGTTGCCGCTGAGGCGGGGGAAGGGGAGGGGGAGCGGGCGGCGCCCGCCAGTTGCTCGCGGACGGCTGGGCCGAGCGGTTGCGTGGGCAGAGCAACCGCCTCTCGACCCTCCGGCGGAGCGTAGTCCGTGCGAGCTATCTGGCAGTGCAGAAGTGCATACTTCGCATGTGTGCAGTGTGTGCGTTCGCGTGTTTGTCAGTGTAGCGGCGCCATAGCCCGTTGGTTGTGCTCGTGAGGTTGTCACTCGCACGGGACGGCCCGATGCCCCGTGGCCGGCGACGGTAGACGTTTCTTCCTCGCTGGGGCCCCGCGGGGCCCTCCATTGCCCTTCGTGTTCTTTTTTCTTCGTGTGACGTGACCCGTGGCGCGGCTGATCGCGCTCCACCGCGACCGTGTTGCCCACCACCATGTTGTACATTCTGCCGCCCCCGAGCGCGCCCAGCCCTCCCTCGCCGTGGGCCAGCATCCTATGTGGCGGCAACGGCGGGGGCGGCGCGAGTGGCGGCTCGGCGGCGGCCGCCAGCGGGAACGCGCCTCCGGGACGGACGGGCGGGACGGGCGGCGGAACCACCACCGCCGGCCCCGAGGTCGTGGCCGGCGTGGTGCACCGAGCGGGGGCGTACTGGATCGCCAAGGCGAACGCCCGCCGCCCCAACTCGCTGCGCTTGCCGCCGCGCGCCCCCAAGCCCAGGGATGCCTCTGCTAGCAATGTGAGTACCCTCCCCCCTCTGCGTTCTACGCTGTCGTTTCACCACATGCACTTGCTAACGTGTTGCGTAAACGTCGCTGACGAATATATTTCTCGCAGACTTGAAAATCGAGGAGAGAAGTGTGTGTTTTGAATAACTTGCCTGGAAGAGTGTTACTTTTCTGCGTATGTCACAAAACCGTGTCAGCCGGTAGATCGTAGTTGAATTCTGCAGTTTGTAAATAAAATATAGTGATCGTTTCTCTTAAGGGTCATAGTTTTCATGATTTGTTAAAAAATGTGCTTACATTTGTAACTTGGAGAGCTGTTCTATACAATGACTGTAAACAGAGTATTATTGTCACAAAATTGATGATTCAGGATTGAAAATTCGGTAAATAATAGTGGTAACGTATGTTGACAGTGCTGTGCTTACCTTTTTAATTGAAAACAAAGAAAATCAGAGGTTTGAGTGCACAGATTACGATTGTCATTTGCTGGTTAGTGATGGGGCTGCCCAGTAGGCGAATATTGGGTTTTTATTATTTACAGAACAGTTGCTAGTTAGTATGTGCTCGCTGCTCATGCAGTACTCAGTCTCTCATCGTTTTCAGTTTTTTATAGCCCGGTACTGGATCTACAATTATATAAAATAAGTAAACTTTAGACTTTCGCTCATAGTGTACTAAAATGCTGCATAATGTTGCCGGTTTAATTTGTGACATATTTAGAAAAAATCGACATTACCTCATGGATGTTTTTCTTAAAATGTGTTTTACACAATTGGTATATATTGTATTTAAGTTTAGACATTTACTCAAGGTTGAGTAAAGTACAGTATGTAGTTTCTAAGAAAATCATGTAATACATTTTAAAATTTGTCGAGACAAAAGGTCGAGTGAAGAGAGCTCTCTACTGAAAAGAGTACGACTAATGGGATTGTTTTGAATGACAGTTGGAAGAAATTTTGAATATGGTTAATATTCTCTAACAATGTTAAATCCATTGCCCTTTTATTGTTAAACGAAACTAAAATTTACTGAGAAGACTTCGAGTCAATTGTTTAGTGCAGTATATCCGATGTAAACTGAAAAATATCCGTTCATTTGTTACTCCCATTTTTGTCAACACTGAGAACTGTGCGAGTACATTGTTAGTGTTCAGTTAACACATTCAGAGAAATGTTATTTCCAGTCTTGATGGAAATTTATTATTGGTGTTTTACCCTCACTGACTCTTGAGTTAGCAATGCGGTACGAATTTCTTGCAAAAGTAGTTTCCAAGGTACAAAGATTTCGTTCTAATGTTCGAATTAGCAGTTGAAACATTGCGTCAAAACATTCAATGAAGCCTGTGATATTTGTCGGCGTTCATGGATACCCGCCCTAGAAATTTCTTGTGGTTTGCTGGCAATAAAAATAGCTGACAAGAATTCATAGTTGATCGGAAATGAACGAAACAATTGAATTATTAAAAAATATTTATTTGAGCTTTCTTATGAACAAATTATCCATTAGCGATCCCTGTTTCAGAAATAACAACGGTTTTACTGAATTTTCATTTAGAATTAGAATAAACCTTTTTAGTTTTGAAATGTAATTGTCCATTTTTAAATACCCCTTGAAGACTGGGCCTTGTTTGGGATTGTGGCC